TTCGAAGTGATAGTCGAGGGAAGGGCTGCGCCCATAACTTGACGCAGGCGTGCGACCGTAGAATCCTGGAGTGGGGGCATATTGCGAATCTTGATCCCCAAGTTCGAGGTCATGCGGCTGAGAATCATGGTCATTAGGACACGAATTAGCAGTCATCGTGCTTGTTTCAAGGCTCTAGCAGATCCAACATCAGCATGATCACGACCAGTCAGTTCAGGAGATGCTAGTCCCCAATCAGAAGGCCAAGCCTGTTACAAGAAGCAAAAAATATTACCCACTAGTACTGTCTCTATACAACTCGCTCGTTCACAGTGGTCACTCTAGAGGGCAAGTGGTTGGCAGAATGGGGATTCTAATTCCTGCCACGTCTCCAAATGAGCTGCAGGCATTCGTTTGTTTGGCTTGTTTGCTAGATCAACGTTCTAGAATCCCTGGAGACCATACGAGTCAAATACAGAAGCTATTTTAAGCTGTTATTTACGATTGTATCGGAATACTGCCAAGAAAGGGGTTCAGGGGAAGAGTAACCGTAATAGGTATAGTGTGTTTCGACAGAGGGTTCGAGAAAGAATCTCTGTGAAGAAGTGGTGAAACTGATTTCGATCCATCCTGTACCTAGCCTGCGTCAGGTTGCATCTGGTGGAGAATCATTGACAAGGGTGTTGGCGGGTAAGCCCATAACACCGTTGAACAGAAGACCACATTTACATAAACAAGCCCGCTGTGGAGGTTCCTACCGAATTCCTTTCCCGATTCTTGCATCAACTCACCTTCTGCTGTCATCCTGGTTCGGAGGATTGTCTGTTACTAACATATCTAGAACTAAGGTCTCTAAGACCGGCAAGCTTGCCTGGTCTGCATCGAAAAGAAGAATTCTCTCTCGGCTTCACCAGCACCGGTGGATGTCTTGGAAGGAAAAATCCAGGACATACTTCAGGCAGTTCTGCGTGAAACTGAGGTGCAGACAGACCACCTGTCACAGAAACATCACTCCATGCAAAGAACCTGTGTCTGAGGCCTCCCGCTGGGGGCACCTCCGCCACGAGTCCTATGAGAAGAACCTTGGAGGTCCTGGTTGCCGTCGCCTCCAATCTACCCACCTAGAGGCTCCCGCACAGAAACTCGCCATTTAATCCATGCGTTAAAGCAACTGGCTGTTTCAGAATGCCGCCGGGTGACGATCGACTTAAATAGTGCAAACGAGAGATTATAGACACGCCCCTCTTTACTAGACTTCTCGTTCAAGAATATATAGCGGTCATACTCTTTGTTATTTTGTCAAACTCTAATTGCAGTGTCCTTTATCTGTTCTGCTTAATTATCTGAAGACACGTACCTATTATTGGCAATATCCCAGTACGGTAATATAAAATCCAATAAAACTGATTTCGAGCGCCTCCGACTACCAGACAAGAAGGTAAGCGGCAGCCTAGGCGATGACCCAGGAGGGCTAATGATTCGAAGAGTTATATAATTCAACTGCCACACCCTCTGAGACCAACCCTACGCGCTATGTCTCATACCTCCGTAAGTTTGTATATCGTATGGCAGCTGTCAATACTGCACCGTATGATCCTCAGCGTTTAACCCTTCCTACACACCACCTGGATGGATATTGCTTGTTCACCTTGAGCGTATCAAAATATCTATTTGTATATAAGTAATGGTGGAAGCTGTGTGTCTGGGTTTTCTCCGGTAGGTCTGTTTGAGACCGATCTATAGTGGACTGTTTTGGCCGTTGAAGAAGACGAAACATGATTCTAATGGTTTCCTGAATACTGCGCCTAGTCATACTTGCTACAGCCACGACGTAGCGTTACGATGGGATTGATCGCTAGTACATTTAATATTTTAATATAATGGTATCATCTGAATTACCAGGAACCGCCGCGCACAGAGCAGAGCACAAGCAGCTCCATGAACAAATAGGCAGGTGATGACAAATATTTCACAGTAAGAATATATCCATGTAGATACTAAAACGGACTTCTCCGCTATCCATTATCAGTTGATTGATCTCTTGGCATTCCGTGCTTGGCAACCAAAGATGCCAGCTTTGCTTTCTCCAAGGAATTGGCGTGAACAATTTCGACTGGACTCTGGCCTTCCCAATAATGCTCATTTGTTCGTCCGGAAACACAAATTGTCGCGCCTGAACACATTCTTTGCATATAGTGTGAATGCAGATATGTCGCTTCGAAGGAAGTAGGAACATCAAAATTGTCGCGAACTGTGATGCAGGTTGATGCTTCATAGCTCTAACTCTCACGCACTGAGCGTCTTTGCTAGCACAGCAAACACATTGCCACGAGACGGAGCCAAGCATGTTTCTCTAATAAGATCAGCAAATGCCCCAGTCATTGGGCAAGTTATATCATATCTCACCTTCTTTCTCTGCTGCACATATATATATATATGGTGAAAGGCAAGGTAGAGCAGCGGAGGTTTCCCCTTATATATATTGCAGACTAAGCTGATCTGCAATCCTCCTAGGACCCACAGACTCGTTGTAATAGCGAAGGAATTTCTCGACATGTTGCCCATGCCAGCAAGGAAGCTTGTTTTGATCAAGTCTCTACCGCTATAACTTCGAAATGAAGTTGGTAGGAGTGGGGCTATTAGGGAATAGATGTTGAATGGGTTATGTGAGGACTTTTTCTGGTCGTTAATCAACCTAAGTGTAACTGGGGTAGTGCGTGGCCATCTGTTGAAGTGGTTACGATATAGAATGAAAATAACTGCTCACCTGGTCTAAGATGCCAATGATTAGTTGCACACTTCAGCCTTTACGACGTGAACCGTGATTAAACCTAATGACACCCGAGCTTAAACAGCCTCAACTCTCAGGGGTCTACCAGTACGTAGTTGTGGTCTTCGAATTAAGATAATCTGGACCGTTGGGTTTGACCGCACTTAACTTTGACCGCTCTAGGATTTATCTGCCCTCATGCCCTTAGCCTGTTGACCGCACAGTAATGCAATATGAGAATATTTCAATTAATAAGAGCCATTACAGAAGCTATCCAGCGTCGAAACAAGTTGGGCACCTCATTCTTTTCATAAAGAACCCAATATGTCACATTTCCGCTCCCAGCGCACAATTCACGAACTTTCCCAGTGTAAGTTAAACAATATCCAATTAAAGTACTGTAAGTCAGTTCGGACAAATTGCGCAGGTTGGAGGTGCCACCACCGGTCGGCATGTGAGCTGACTGCCCGCTTCTAATCAATCGGCCTGTCTGCTGTACTGCTGAGAATTATGCCAAAAGAACACTACCACAGGTAAGTGCCTTCCCCCACCCCTTTTTTTTCTTCGTTCAAGAGGGTCAGTAAAAGTGATGTTGTCGCTTTGAATGATTCCGTCTCGAATATAAATAATCCTCGGCCCCAGCCAGTCGCCACTATCATCGCACTTGCTTACCTTGAAGTCGCGCATAGTCCAGGATGCGTTCCTTCAATTACCTTTTCTTTATCGGAAATGTTGTGGCGGGCAGTTATTTGGCTATCATTGAGGACAATGACAGCGAGACTAACTGTAGAGTGTGGTCTCAGAATAACCACGGCTGTACAGGCTACTCAGCAACCTTTGCTAAGCTGAAAGGCAATGATTGCTCAGGTGAGTGTCCAATTTGAATCAAAGGCCCTCACGCTATTGTTAACACTCCTTAGGTTTTATTGGTGCCGGTTTCGACGATAAGTCGGTGAAAGTTGATATATGTGGCACTGAAAATGGAGAGCAGGTTGCCTGGGTGACAGTCAACAAAAACGGCACTGTGTCTTTCCTCAACCGACAGGGAGACACGTCTAGTTGTATGCTAGAAAACGGTCTTAAGGTGCCCAGTGGGTGTAGCATTGGTAATACAGGTTCCTCTCAGACGACCACGCCGATCTCTGCAGGCAGTCAGTTCTCGTTCTCAACTGCAATCGGCACGTCCACTTCTGAAACAGCCCGTGCTGATCAATCTCCAACTCCGATATTCACGTCGACGCCTACAGACAGTCTAACTTTGCCTTCAATCTCAGCCGGTAAATCGGCTACTGAGACACCCCTTGCAGATCACTTGCCAACCCTCACGTCTACCCCGGCATGCAAATGCTCTTGCAAATCTGCAGTCATCTGATGTAGATAAAACTGCACTGCCAGTGCGAGCCGCAGGTAGTTCATTAGAGTTTATCAGGTTTAGTACATACAGTATGATGGAAACTTTTCACACCATATCTTGCCTTATATAGTTGAAGCTACACGTGTGCATCATGCAGGAGGTGAATGAGCATTTCTTACATCCCGTTTTGTATTGAAGTATAACATAAAGACCCAATATATGGAAGCACTTTATCTTTGTCTACAACGTATTTTGCACAGTACCACCACGGGTCTTTTTGAGCCTCTACAGAGTGGGAGGCTCAGACGAAGGGAGAAAGGTCAACCAGACACCGTCTCGAGGGTGAAGATGATTCAGGCCATATTGGACTTCTCCGAGGCGTCACAGCGGTTTCGTAGTCGTGCGCCCTGAGGGCAGCCTAACAATTGAAGCGGCAGTGGGCCACGAAAGGCCGTGACGAGGCTCTAAGTCAGGAAGTGGATCTCTCTACATGTACATAACTGAAGATATATAGTTGTCGTATCCTGCATATCATTCGCGAAGTTGTATTCTAAACCACAACCCACTAAGCTGGGTACGGATTCGTATTTTGGTCTAGTGGTTAAATCAACTCGCGAGGGGACAGAGTAATAATCTACTACTACTACTACTGTACTTGACCAACTTCTTTGCATTCCATTTCAAAATTCTATCAATATCAAGATATCTCAACTTATCCTTCCCAGCACTACGAAGGTGTATAGTTAGCGGCCAACGTCTAAATGCCTGATTTTTCAGGCTTGCTGCCTTAAGTTGCAGAGATATAGTGCACCCAATTCACCGCACCATAGAGGGCAATACAGAGCTATACAGACCGGCTCGAAATCAGTTGTTAATCATTCGAGTGTCATGTAAAGTCATAACCTGGGCGAAGCGGTTATTATATATGACGCTGTTGAAAATTCTCCCACTTATCTTCCAAAGAGCACGGACAGCGGTTATCCAGAAACCACTGAATGTGTCAGGTCAAAAATATTCTACAATCGTCAAGATATAGCCATTTGTTTAGATATGGGTTGTGCATTCAAGCTTACCGATATACTTTTCCCTTTCGCAAGCCAAAAGATTCTTTCTGCTCTCTCTCAATCCCATTCAGAATATCAGGCGAGTGGCTCGCAGGCTGCCTTACCACTATATACGTAGATATCTTCACTAGACTCGGACATTGGTATGAAAAATACGGTGCTATATATCGACAATGTTCACTAATTTGCCCTACAGATTTCGCTTACTTTACTTTGCGTGGTGCGTCTTTCTACGGTATACAATCAGCATTTGGCGCTGCTATATGTGAGGGTATAGACAACAGCGAGTTGCGAAGGTGGGAAAAATATCACTATATTTCCGAAGTCACAGATTGCGTCACAATGTATATATGGAGAGCACAACCACATCGTGGACTCATTAAATTGCGACTTGGACACTATACAGGGGTCAATTTAGCAAACAAGATATATGCAGGACCCTCTTCAACAATCATCGAACCCTCAGTCTCGTTCAATATCTCTTGACTTTCCCCCGGCAATCCAGACTCCAACATTTCTTGGAAGGATAATTGCGCCACTACCCTTTGTCTCAACTATTTTTTCACCAGCTTATGTTTGGAATCTAATAAGGTCGTATTTCAAGCAATATAGGTTTCTTTCAAGATCCTGCATTAGATCATTACCCTATAGAGGGCTATAATTACCGACATACCAAGGATCTTGCAGAGGCAGAGTCCGCTATACTCGCTAGAATTCTTATAAAGTAGTTTCTCTTTGCGGGATACTTCGTAGCTTGGTGAACCGAGATTTTGAGTGACCCTGGGCGCTCCGTGGTTTCGGTGGTCAAACGTTAAAATGGTATAGAACCAGTATTAAAGGTTGTAAGATTCAAATATGGACTAAGAATGCTGGGAATCAGGCGCAATCTAGGATTTGGCTGAAAATTGCCCAACTGCCCCTCCCTGAGTGTATATATCAGCCACCTCGTGGCGCTAATGTGCTCCCAAACAGTTTGCAGGGTTTGCTTACTGCTTGGTGCCTGAGGCAGATTCCTTGGTCGCGCCAAGGAAGTGCTCTCAGCAAGAGGGATTACTAAAGGCAGGGGCTTAGTAATCCCACAAAGAGGTTAATATTGGCTTATGTAATTAGATGAGATATATTCGCTAGCTAGTACTATCCAATAGAAACCATGCGATCCTTACAGAATCTCACTAAGCAAAGCAACACGCACGTGACCCGGCACTCGCCCACCTGTGGCGGAGTCTAGGGTATACCGCTGCAGTGACAATAGGGGATTCCGATTGTCCCTATGATCTTTTGGCCTAACGGTTAGATACTCCTATATAATCACTTGGGTATAGCGGCCTAAGTAAACCTGCCGGGACCGCAGGATTGTACACCCAATCAATAATGAGTTCAGTTTGCCGTTAAACAGGTCATAGTTAACGTATTTCATATACGAGCTGGACAAGCGAGCTGGCCACCTCAAAAACACTGAAATAAGATAAACTACAACAATATGTCTGAAAACCCCCCTTCCTATTTTCTTTGATTGTTTGTCGATAACTGTCGATAAGGCCTTTCAAGATCATATATCAATTGCAAAGAAATTGAATCAAGGCATTGTTACAGTATCGAAAATTACATCGACAGAGGCCAGAAAATATATATATCTCGACCACCACATTATAAAAATTCTGTTCACTCTATTAAATGACTACTTACTACTTAATAGGCATTATATATCAATAGAAAGTCCCAATCATCTCTTATTGTTGTGATATCCCCCTGTAATTTATCGTATATAGTATATGTATTGAAGTGGCCAGTATAGTGAGGCTGGTTGCACTAGTTTTAGGACTAAGTGTAGTTCAAAGCCACCTTGACCATGGATATGAATTACCGCTTGGCTTCGCTATTTTGGACTGCCATATTAACAGTCAAAAATATCATAGGCTTTCAAAGTGACGGTCCTAAAATGGTCCTTAGATAAGCCAAGAGCTCTGACTATTCCCTCCAATTCAGACTGGTGGTTTGAGTATATATATAGAAGACCATTTTTAAGGAGTAATAAATGTCCCCTGGACCCAATTTACTTGCAAAGGATCCCTCTCCCGGCGGTATAGGTATTGTAGGTGTCGCCACAAGTCATTTGATGTTCCCGCGGCAATATATTGACGGCTTTCGATGTCGTACACGATAGTGCGACTATATTGATATTCATGGCGATAATTAATTGACTTCAAGTAGAGGTATACTCACACCCAAAAACGACAGCCAGATCCTCCACCGGAGAACTGATATTGATGGCGGAAATTTCGGTAAATTGTATCAGCGATATATCGAACCTCAATAGCCATAGTAACCGGATAGTCCCAGTGCCGTATCGCCGAATTGGTGAGGAGATATGCGAGATTTGACCATTCAAGACGCCCATCTATTTCTCTATACTCTGTCACTATATTCACACGCACTGATCCACCGGCCCGAAGAAGGAGATAAATCGAGCAATGGTTGTCCGACCTATCTGTTGCAGCACCAGTGTGAACCACAACTCTTATATGACTAATAGGCCGGGTATCTGCTAGAACTTGATTTTGAATTAGATTCACCATTTTTCTTCAATTCAAAGTTGAGTCAGGAATAGGGGAGGGAAAGCAGTATAACTATATTGCTCAGCTAGCTATCATTTTGGAGGGGTTATAAGACATCGGATTATCTATTATCCGAGCCGGTAGATCATGTGCGTTAGAGTGATCGAGGCTATCGATCGTTTTCTATCCCTTACTCTACCTCGCCTTCTAATATCTGACGCTACTATGTCTGGTCAATTCGACAATCACTAGTCGATCATTGACTTTTGCCGTTCTTGTCTAGAGGATCAGCTTATTGGAGGCTTGAGGTCTGGTAACTAGGTCGCTAAGCTACTAGATTGCGACTTGGTGGTCAAGTTCGGCCCGTTTGTTACCTCCTATGAGGCAAAGAATCAGCAAAAAGTATACGGTATACTTGATCTAGATATCGTTACAGTCCCTTCGGTTTATACTTTTTTTGTGGACGATGAGGGTTGGGGCTATATAATATCGGATTATATTCGGGGCAAAATTATCGATCCTCTTTCAGACTCTCACATTAAAAAACTCGCCCGCATTCTTGACTATTTTCACTCTATTACCCACGATAGGGCTGGTAGCCTATGTGGTGGCCCTTCAATTGGCTTGCTCTGGCCAGATACAAATGATCTGACCATTAGCAATGTTCAGCAAGTGAATAAATGGTTTAACAGCCGGCTTTTCCCCGGAGATAGCAAGGTTCATTTTGATCCTACCCCACTCGTGCTCTGTCATTTAGACATAGCCCCCCGAAATGTTATCTGGTTGGAAGATGGCCGTATCTGTTTACTGGACTGGGCATCAGCAGGATTTTATCCGAGACCGTTGGAATTTGCCAGTCTATTTTTTCAAGAATACCGTTTTAGCGACATGCTTTTGAAAGCAGTCGGTTTTGACTCTGGTCGTGATAAAGAAGAACAGCAGAGGATCTACCAGGCATTGTATAACAATGAAAGGTACTCTTTGTAAGTCAGAACTGACCAGAATTTCTTGTTTTTGTCAATTTTCTGACTCGGAAAATAGTGGTTCACGGGATATTCAAGAAGGGTCTTCGCCTAATGAAACAACTGGTTGTATCTTTCCTCTTCCGTTACTTCTGGAACCGCAAAAACTTCCGACTTCACGAGGTGCGAACGATACTAGTGAATTATAGGGATGAATTTGATCTCTAGATTATCTAGTAGATATATATAGCCTGCAATAGAGGGCCTTCTTACAGTACCAGTAGCTTCTTATAAAGGCTAGAATCTTCTAGGTCTATTGGGATCACCCGATATCCCCAAGGTCTTCGATGTTCGAAATGACTCGGCTGCACTAATCAGCTATTATGATATTAAAACCTATTGACCTACAATTGATGTAGCCGGTAACCAGCTTATTCCCCAAAAGATACGTTAGTGGCCTGGAAAAATGTGTTGAGAGAGACGCCTCTCTTACGGCTCGCGAATCAACAGAATTGAGATCATTGTGCCATCTTCTATTCATGACTTCTATTTACTTATTTATAGTAAGTGATCTCCCCACAACTTTTCACCCAAAGGCCGATGTTACCTACGAACCGTCGGGCAGCTCCTATCTTCACACTATGCGTAACGAAGAAACTTGAGTCTTGGTCCTTATAAATCTGCATAAGATCGAGACTGTTCTCAAGGGTCACATTGCGTGCTTTGTTGATATTATCCCTGAATATCTCGTTGGTTACCCGTGACTGCTGCCATTCCGTATATTCGTTCACAGCTATATCAAGGAACCCGTGAATCGTGATTGGTTCAACAAAGTTACGTTTAGCAAGCACACCTTTATAGGCAGGCGAAGTGGACAATGGTATTTAAGATAACGCCACCGGCAGAATATTGTTGATGATATTGATCGGAGGGCACATAGAATAGCTTAAAGAGTGTTATGCAAAAGGACCAGGCTGCCTTTCTCTAGGGGGATGTCGCGAAGTCGCTTTCTTCCATCGTGATAGGACTTGTTGTTCTCACGCATTCTGGCATATCGGTGGATCGCTTCCTAGACGTCTTCGACACGTTGTAAAATCTGCCGTGTGCGGAGAGCGATCAGGTCTTCGCGAGTTCTCTAAGGATTGGGTCGATGCAATATCGTGGTCCTCGCGACGGCGCTTCTGAGCGAGATCTTGTGTTCCCCGTGTTCCCACTGCATTCACGCCCGCGCCTGCGTTAAAGTCCTCAATGATTTGATGCAGGGGTAGTTCGTCGTCATCACTGTCGATCTCCTCATTTAGATCAGGCCTACTTCCTAGGTGGGCGGCTAGGCAGTTGATTGGGACCTGTGCATGATTGTCCTGTCTGTCATAGACGTCTCGGTTGTCCTGTTGTTCGTAGGCGTCGGTCACGTCTTGTCTTACGAGTTTGGGACCGTGATCTCCTTCCTTCCCTAGGTGTAGGAAGCTTTGGAAGTAGTGTAGCCTCCCTGACTGGATATCAGCCGCTAACTCTCTGCACTCTCTTACCGATTGACGGTGCCCTTCTGCCCCACAGAAGTAGCAGAAAATACCTTGTAGGAAGCTTAGGGAAGGCCTCGGCCCTTGTGTATAAGCCTGGTTCTGTGGAGGCCCGTACTGATCCTGGTACGATCTAGGCGCTTGAGGAAGCCTCTGATAGGGTCGTGTTGCAGCCACCTTTAGGCTATTAACGTCCAAACTCATCGAGTTGAATTTCTGGTCCATTTGCTTAAAGGCTTCCTCGATGTTGAAGGATGCGGGTCGAAATGTTTCTTTAGGCTCAGACTGCCTAGCCGAGCCCTGATTGGCTGGAGGTTTTTCGGCCGAAATACTATTATTTGCGAAGGTGTATCCCGGCCAGGGGTCGGAAACTAATTAACGTAATCCACTACCGAGTGACGCACACTACCGAGTGACGCACCCCCTCCCAAAACGCGTCAATTAATATAACCCTCTCTCTTCAACCACCCACTATGCCACCAATTCGTTCTCGATCGTCTAAAGATTCAACCGAGCAAGAGGGTAGGATCTTATTAGCTATCCAAGATTTTAAGAATGAAAAATTCTCTTCAATTCGTGAAGCTGCGCGCTGTTTTAAAGTGCCTGAGGCTACCCTCCGCCGCCGCCTCCGGGGTGTTCAAAACCGCGCGATTTTACGCGCTAACTCACATAAACTGACTGAGCTTGAAGAGCAATCTCTTGAAAAATGGATACTCTCTATGGATCTACGTGGAGCAGCCCCCCGGCCTGCTACTGTACGAGAAATGGCGAATCTTCTTCTTGAAAAGCGCGGATCTAGCCCGGTTCTTTCGGTTGGCGAAAATTGGGTTACAAAATTTGTTAAACGACGTCCTCTTCTCTCCTCTCGTTTCTCGAAACGTTATAACTACGAGCGTGCGAAATGTGAGGATCCAAAAATTATAAAGGAGTGGTTTGATCTTATTCAAAAAACTATCCTACAATTTGGGATCGATCCGGATGACGTTTATAACTTTGATGAGACGGGTTTTGCGATGGGATTAACGGCGACTGCGAAGGTTATTACGAGAAGCGAATACTACGGTCGGCGAGCACTTTTACAACCTGGAAATCGTGAATGGGTGACGGCTATTGAGTGTATAAATGCTACTGGTTGGGCCCTTCCACCGTGTGTGATTTTTAAAGGCAAAGTCTTTATTGAATCCTGGTTTGACGGCCTCCCGGACGATTGGCGATTTGAGGTTAGTCCTAATGGATGGACCTCTGATGAAATTGGACTTCGCTGGTTAAAAAAGCTCTTTATTCCTACCACTTCTATACGTATGAAGGGGGTATATCGGCTTTTGATACTTGACGGCCACGGAAGTCATTTAACCCCGAAGTTCGATGAAATCTGTGAAGAAAACAAAATTATACCGATCTGTATGCCTCCGCATTCCTCTCACCTTTTACAGCCTTTGGATATAGGCTGTTTTGCGGTGTTAAAACGCTCGTACGGCCGGCTGGTTGAAGCAAAAATGCGGGTTGGGATAAATCATATTGATAAACTTGATTTCCTCGAAGCATACCCTCTCGCACGAATTGAAGCTTTTAAATCAGAGACTATTAAAAACAGCTTCGGAGCAGCTGGTTTAGTCCCTTTTACACCGGAGAGAGTGATTTCGAGGCTTGATATTCGTCTTCGAACCCCTACCCCCCTTCTAGCCGGGGTAGTGATTGGGATCCAAAAACACCTTCGAACTATGTGCAATTGCAAAAGCAAGCCTCCTCAATAAAAGCACTACTTCGTACGAGATCAAGGAGCCCCCCTAGCCCGCTCAATTCCGCTATCAACCAGGTTTTAAAAGCCTGCCAGATCACGATGCATTCCGCCGCACTACTAGAGAAAGAAGTGAGCGATTTACGCGCTGAAAACGAGAAGAAAAAGCAAAAGCGAACCCGATCTACAAGGACGATAGTCCACGAAGGGGATCTCTCAGTTCAGGATGTTCGTGAGCTACGTTCAGAGCCATTTGAGGCTCAAGTAGCGCGTATCAACAACTATCGTGAGCAGGTTTCGGAAGGTTTAAGGCCGCCCCCCCAGGCTGGACGAGCATGTGGAATATGTAGGAAGCCAGGACATAGGAGAGAGACATGTCCAGATAGATGATGATTTTAGTTTATTTAATTTAATGGCGTTTTGGTTGAGATAAATGCATTTGAATTCAGGAAGTTGGGTGGGGGTGCGTCACTCGGTAGTGTGCGTCACTCGGTAGTGGATTACGTTATTACTAATATTGGTGCCTTAAGATGCCTGATTGTATCTGATTATATACCGCCTTTCGGCACCGCTCTTACAGTGTATTGTAAATGAAGCCCTCAAATGGAAGCCTCCCTCCCGGGTTATTGAAGCTATTCCCACAATACAAATATTCCAACCCTCCCGTTTCTAGGCGTGAAGCCTCTTATACCATATTCTCGACGATTTCGATACCCCCCGACTATACATATCGCCAATCTATCTTCATCGCCATGTATCCTCATCGATCCCGACCGTACAAATCGCCATCCATTTTCATCAATCCGAATACCCCTGACCATCTCCATACGCCCACGGATCAATCTCGACCCTCATAAACGTGAGATTCGGAGTCAGCCTCGGCGATAGGAATACAAGGACGTATAGCTTACCTTGAGGGGAGCTTCAAGTGGTGGAAGAGAGGGGGACGAGTACACAGTGGGAAGACTTCAACGCCCAGGAATAAGGGAATTCCAGGATTTGTATAGGTGCGAATAGCGTCATACTTGTGCCATTTCTTAAGGCACCAATATTGTCGACCTCTGTAGTAATCGTGCCATCGCCTTTTCACCACCACCTACCCGGTGTTGGTGGGCCCCACCGGATCCCCGATTTTCGTTTTTTTATCAACTTCCTACTCATTTTTCTACTACACCACGACATAGGGTGCAAATTTTCGGTGGTAATGGTGTAATCTCGGAAATATATATGGATACATCCTCCTCGAGAAAGATCTTGTCAGTATTAGAGTGGTGACTCCTGAGGGGCGTCATGAGGTAGGGTATCAATATTTCCAATTGATAACACAGTACACTGGGACCTCCGAAATATTGGGCCAAACTAATGTACCCGTATATACCGCCTTTTTATATTCTGCCGGTTTAAACCCCGTATATATTAAAAAACCTAATTCAGGACGCCGCCGGCTCCGGCGAGGTAGAATCGTAATGTGAGGTATAACTGGCATTTAAATAAAGAGAAATTAATAGAGGAACGAGCGAAAACGCGGAGGGGACGCGGTATATACTTGGTATGGTAGAGGTTGGCAGTATATTTAATAGGCAGGCGGTATAAAAAGGCGGTCTATGTCGGTACTTTAGTTTGGCCCAATATTTCGGAGGTCCGCAGCCCATCATGTGACTTGGGTTTACAATACAGTTCGAAATTTGAAATTGCTTAAGCCGAATACAGGCTAGCGTGTTTCAGAATTAAGTTTGGGAAAAATTCAAAGAGAGTAAAATGGTGAAACTGATTTCGAGCGCGTCTGTACGTGGATGTACTGTAGTGAATCATCTTTTTGCTTTGCGATCGTAGTAGACCAGAGTTATGCTCATCCTTGTTTTATATGTTCTTCGTTATGTTACATTGTATATAAAGATCCCCTCAGAATATGGTTCTACCAACACATTCTGTCTGGTTGAACCATTAGTGGTCCCTGATATCTCGATATTATGCAATATGATGAAACCACAAGACAAGTACTGCCAACGATTGATCCCTCAGAATTAGTTTATACGATTATGCAAAGGATACCCCAGGGAGGACTAGCGGTGATCGCAATGTTCATTTCTGGTCAACCGCTCGCAAAGTGACAAACACCCATCGTACATCACGATATTACCGGGCGAAAAGTGAGGTACTACTGCATAGTTCTCAACCTTGGATATCATTCGACATAGGACTTACCCAGATTCGGTATTACTTTCCATCTAATATTTGGAATGACTCCGATTCCGTCTCCTTTCCAGAACCTATAAAGTGGAAAGCGAATATCCATTCGCCCTCTTTAGTAGTTCTTCTCCAAACTTTTCCCTGGAAGCCCATTATACCAATTCGAGCCCCAAAACAAACCCAATGGATTCTGTTCCACCAAGAAAAAAAGAGAATGAAGATCATTCGGTGTTTCTGTCTTCTGTCGCGTCAACTGAATTATTCCTAACATCCCGTGGCTTGCGTACTCCATTTGAACTGCCCAAAGAGGCAAACAGTGTCGGCATTCCCGAGGTTTCCCTGAATGCCAGAGGCTTATCGAAGCAAAATAACCTAGAAACAACATTCCCCGAGTGCCAAACTAAGCGAGCCGTTCACTTAAAAAGAGAGAATGTATCCAAAATACATCGCACTAGTGAAAAAAGCACCGAAAATTTCTGCAAGCGAAACAGAGTGCGAAAGTCTTCACAGGGTCAGCACGGCTCCAAAGCCAGCCAATGTATTTTATCAGGTTCATTCAAAAACAGAACCCTGTCTAAGGCAATGAAACTGGGTCCAATTACTTACCGCGGCGCCCTAAAGATGACTGGGAAGCTTTGCAAAGCACAGTTGCCCCTCCTCAAAAATCACCTCAGAGACCGCAGTGATCTATTTAGCGATGGAGAAGCCTTGCTACATGAGATAGCAACTGCGCACCCAAGATACAACCAGATTATTCGAACCCTGCCCATCTTATTGAATTTTATTCCTGGAGAATTTAAAGAAAAACTGATGATTGAAGAAAACGCGGAGTGGTTGAAGATGGGAGCTTATTTGGTCAATAAATGGATTTCAAGATCAGCATGACAAAAATTGCTGGGTAGACGATCTACTGTAGAAGGATACAAATTTGGGATGATCTAGGCGAAAACTAGTTAGTTTTTGTTGAGAAGAATTACAAATAGTAAGAAGTGAAGCGAGAGAATGCAACTATGTGCTTTCTACAAATTTGTATATAAGTGGAAGGACCACGAAAAGAATAAGGAGTTTACTTTGCTCTGACATCACAGTACTGTCCCATGTATCCACCAAATACACATCATAGGTGTCTAAAAGGCTACTAGGCTGTCAGAACCAGTCGGATCGCGAGGCTCTCTTTTAGCTATTATCAAACCTCATATCATTTCAACTTGGAAAGCTCTCAAAGAATCCCAATAACTGTACTGTACCCTCGTTTCGTTTCATATCTTCATAATCCACATTTCTTCCACTAACATTAACTTCATAAATGTTGTAATTCAGAAAATGATAGATATTTCAGGAGAAATACGAGGCTATACTATGTAACGATAACATCAAATTGATTATTATTTTCGTAAACACGGGATTGAATCTGATGGTGCGACTTGGTTACTGATCTGCACCAGCCTCATAATACAACAAGAATTGAAGGCTTGCACATAAACACCCCAACGTCCCAAGTGGTGGAGATATCTGGAGTGGGGATCGACAGTTTCAAAACTCTTGGTGTCATTATTAAGTGGGAACTTGGTCGTGTGCTCTGATGACGGTAGTGCTAGATTTTGCGGTTAGCTGAAGGCTCTGTATCGCTAATGTGAGCGCTTCAATCTAAGCTGCAAATCACTGGCTTCAATCACTTTGTGCTAAAGTCAATCATTACTTCTCAAACGCAAGTAGAAATCCGAGTTCCAACAGGACCAACTCAAAAAGAAAATGATGTGATGACGGGAAATCGAAGCGAAGGCATCTGTCGGATCCGAACCCGCGAACAAAACCAATAGGCATTCATTTTCTAGATCAAGAAAAATTTTTAGCCTACTCACATTGTTGAACAAACTAATATAGTTAATCTTCATTTGCTTGCAACTGCTTCGCAACTGTATCTTTCTGATTACCTATCTCGCATCGATACCAGCTCTTTTTCGTTCTACATGACACTTTTTTAGACAGGTTCAACGTATATACAAGATACTCGAGCTGCACACAGGGATAGATTGCTCTGGACAAGACACTTGAGCAATCTCATGCTTTATTGACTGTAAATGGATTGGCGTTCTTCTGAAAGCGAGATCATACAAATCAAACGACGTCCGAAACAGTCATATTCATGGAATAGGGGGCTCGCCAGGTCACCAGGTCACCAGGTCGTGGTAATAACTGGTAAGCATTTACCAGTAAATACTAGTAGTTTTTGGTAGTTTACAGGGGTTACCATAGGAGGGTTTTGGGGGGAAATAAAATTGTCTAACCTGGTGAGCTGCTCACCAGGTCAGAAAAAAAAATACGATTCCACCATTTTCTAGTTGTTTTTAGTAATTACTGGGCTACTAGTAATAACCAGGGAATTTTGGACGTAGAGTCTGGGAAAGGAACCAGGGATGATCTGGTGACCTGCTTACCAGTTATTACCACGACCTGGTGACCTGGTGACCTGGTGACCTGGCGAGCAAAACGCCTATATTCATGTTATACTATCTTCACCCCCCGGGAGATCCATATCGACTCGATATGCGGAAATTTCTTGTGTCAACTCATTCAGGCTCATATTCAACCATTCTTTGGCAGAAATAAGTTCAAGTTGTTCGTTCCGATTCAAACGTCGCTTTTTGCTCGCCGTCTCGTGAAGCACCGTTTGAAACAGATCCGCTCCGATATATTCGGCATGTAAAATTAGAAACGGATTCCGTACGTACAGCGAATAACAATCTCTTCCGTTGATGCCTCGTGTCGGATTATCGCGAGAATATATATGGAAATGATATTTCGAGAACCCTTCGAAGAATTTATTCAAAGCGGATTGAATGTTTGGTAGCGGTACGTCTTTGTCAGGCTCACCAGGAATGATGAACTTCATATTGAAGCGGCTCGGTGATTGAATATTCACAGCTGGAGCAAGTGAAGTGGGATCAAACTGCGGAGTAGAAAAGACGGAGAGCACTGTTGCTTCATTTGCTTCTGGTGGAATGATCGTATTTTGAATTAGGTCATCAAAGCTTGGGTTCCATAAAGAAGGTTCCTGAGGAACTGCCTCGTTGTTTTCAACTTCAGGAACGAATTGACTGTCATGGTCGTCTTTGAGATAGCGGAAATATGCCAAAAACACCGATCGTCGAGCAAATCCTGCAGTAACTCGGGGGGAGCTCCAAGGCCGTTCCAATACCTCCCGCGAGAGTGCAAAATGATCTGCCTCCACTGAGTCCCTATACGGCGTTCCATTTCGTCTTTCTACCGGTAGGTCTTCCTCTACACTTGCGGGATAGTCACACGGTGTGATAGGGGATAATTCAACCGGGTGAGCCGGCAGTCCATCCACAAGAGGGGTGCTGAAGCCTTTTTCTCTGACAAGCCAAAAGAGATGTTGCCAGAGTTTCTGTCGTTCGTGAAGTTCTTCAATGGGTGTCGGCCCGAGTTGTGTCCCAGGCTTTGTCCGCGTGCGGCGCTTGTGATCGGTCATTTCGAATCCATACTGAAAGCTGAAACGCCAGAAATCATAAAGATCCCCCCGAATTCCATGCTGGCGATTTGAAGTCATGACAGGGACACCTGTGTAATATTGTTCCCCGAGTTCTTCGTCGATAGTCATCTTCCGATGGGGATCAGGAATGTAGAGTTGCTGTAGTACACTCCGGCCTACGTCTAGACTGATCCTATCTTTGAAAAATGTCCCCAGTGTCGGTATAGGGTACTGGATCTCTTTCAATCGTTCCCAAATTCCAGTGCGGTCTTGAACATCTTCAATATCAGGGAACAATTCTTCCTTTGACATTCGATCTTCCAAGAACCGCAAGTCCCGAGCAGAGACCTTGGGCACACGGGATTTCAATAGTTGGATGGTCACGCCGTCTAATTGCGCCAAAAGATCCCGCCTGTCCCCCATTAAGCCAAAGAATGTGCTTTTTATGTGGTTAAGGTAGCATAGGAGAGGCTGATATATCCACTTAGTCTTTTGATCATTTGGCTTTGAGAACTGGAATTGGGTTCAGTATCTTACCTCATCACAACGCATTGACACCAACTTGTGGAGTAGCCCGATTCGCATGCCCTCCCAGATACCCGCTATAGGGAGCAGCTCATCGAAGGCTTGGGGCAGTGTAGGATGTTTGAGAAAAGCTCGCAGATATTTTCCCTTTTTGCTTCCAGGAACCCTTTCTAGGGCAGCCCACCAATGGTTTGCTGCGATCCTGTTTACCGGGCCGTCGAGATATCCTTCATAATACCGTATTCGCTCATATATAAGCCCATCCGGAGGCCTTTGGTCATTCGGGAAGCGTTCCCGGAGTGATCGGATAAATTCTTCTTGTAAAGGTTCTTCGCCAGCTAAAATGTAATCAGGCAAAGATATTCTGGAGGATAGCGACCTCTTGACGCACCTGTCTGCTCTGTAACATAAACATCCACAATCCACCATGAATTGCTAGAGCTGAGCTTTTTCCGGGCAGCAATAATTAAGTTCTCGTGGTCCTGTCCGCGCAGCTGGTAGTCGATATCGACATCCAATTGATGGAATTGTCCATCTACCAGCCGTGGCCTAACGCGACGTTGCCAATCACTTTCCGGAACCAATACAGGTACATGGCATTCCTCCATCAGGCGATGGCACCCTTGAGTGTCCAGAATTCGCTCAAGACGAGCGATATTTTGGCGGTTGCTCATTTGCCGCTTGAAGTTTTTGTCGAATACGAGACGAGAGATATCAACCCGTGCTGCCATTTTGAAATGTTCCTCACGATAGGTAAATACTGTGTACTCGGCTTCTTCCACTTGAGCCTGTGTTAAGCGTGTCATTTTGTAATGTAGTGAACGTGGTATGTTTGAGCTTGTCTGCTGAGGGGGTGGGACTTTTTAAATACCCTGAACGAAAGAGCCATTTTTACGTGTTTGCCATTTCGTCTGAAATATCATAGCAGTCATCAAATTTAGGCTGATGAAGGTATACGTTCCATTATATGAAATGAGGTGGTTGGTCTTCCCCACAGAAGGTTGAGGGAGTCTATTTCCGCCGCTCCGGCTAACCTATTAACCTCAGAAATCAGGCGTTATCCTCTCTGCCGTCCACTCACTGTTATGGCCCCAATCGTTATAGTAAAACCTACTATAATGTCATATCAATCGCTCTAGCCGGGTCTAACCAAATCTAGCTGAAATCAAACATTTGAGGGTCAATTTGCCAACCGCGAACAGCACTTAAGGATGGACGTGCCGTTTCCACTTTAATGAGTACATGCGACGGGGGGCTCCCGAGTTCCGCTACTTTGAGTTAATATATTTTCCTATTCTGACATCATCCACATCTTAACGGTTCTATAAAGAACACATGGTTTCCACATGCTCGTGCGGGGCGCTTTCATCGAGAATACCCTTGACACTGACTTCCCTAGATTCCTTGGTGGCATAAATAGAATGCTGCGACACGTAGGAAAGATGCTTCCCTTGGCTTTCTCTATAGCGGCCTTGGTCTGCCTAGCCATTGTCTTTGCGGGATGCATATCGACCTCTTCTCCCAATGAATTGTACTTCTTAAAGGTAGCTAATATCCCATAAAACTCAAGGAATAGTTAGCTAAAGCCAAAATAATAGGTGGAATTTATCAATTTTCCAGAATTTGGGAGCGTTCATCCTCGTCGCTCCCTCGGTATTGCCGCGGTGGACGGAATCGATGTTGCAAACAAAGCCAGTAGTGAGGCCAACAGCGTTATGAACAGCGCTTCTACTGCTGTAATTTATGCCTCGGGCGCCGCAGAGACTGCAGCGAGCCAGATGACCGATAAGATTCAATCTTTATCCAACGAAATAAACTCACACCTTCCGGGTTTTTATTCTGTGGGACTTTGGGGATATTGCCAAGGCCAGAAAGAAACATCATCTTATTCCAATTGCTCGCAACCCAGTACCTCCTTTTCGTTCGACTTGTTAAGCATTTTGGGCTCGGTTACCCCAGTAATCGACAGGGTGCTACCAGATGAAAATAACAAATTGCTTGCTGGATATCACGGTGTCTCCCGATGGTCAACCTCAGCTTACATCTTGGGCTTTGTTTCAACATGTGTGGCTGTTGTTTTCGGAGTCACCACAATGTTTTTTTCGCGGGGAAAAATATTGCTTATCATTTCTTCTTTGGTAAGGCGTCGTAATTAGTGTCTGGATAAAATAAGCTGACCATTGCTGAGTCTGCAACTATTTTTGTCGCCGGCGCATCCATTGGCGTTACGGTAATCTACGGGTTGATTACGGGTGCTATACAGAGTATCCTTCATCCTCTGGGAGCCGATGCAAGTTTCGGGGCGCATTCTTTTGCTGCAACCTGGCTAGCAGTAACATTCTCTTTTGCGGCACTTTTGACATGGCTGATTGAGATGTTTTGCTGCTGCATTTGATGTGGTTATGGAATAGTCAGCAGGTAAGCTAAGGTGTAGACTACCGTGTTACAGAATCGACTTTGATAAAGAATAAAAGAGATGGAAGTGGCGAAGGTAATTTCGATATATCTTTTACCTGTAGATTTCCACAATTTCTTATGATTGCAGAGGATGCTGTCGAATGCCAAGGTTCGAATACAGGGCTGAGACAGGGTAAAATTCTCAGAAAATCATGTGACTAATGGTAGAAGCGACCGAGAGATAGCGAGAGAAAGGGCAGATTCGGTAAGAAATATGTCCGATATTGTTATCTACTCGGACGCTTCCGGACGTGAAGGCCATCTTGGAACTGCCATCGTCGCGCTCAACGACCAGGAAGAGGTGGTGGAATCTCAACAGGTACGAGTGGGTCCGATGGAACGCTGGTCGGTCCACGTAGCAGAGCTCATCTTCTACGCGGTCGACATGGTGTTCAAGCTAGCCTATCGGCGCACAAATGTCGGAGATGGAGTACGGTCAACGGCAACAATCTCATGTGACAGCAGATCGGCCTTGCAAACAATCCAGAACCCAAGTAACAAATCTGGACAGCGAATCGTCCATGCAATCATACAGGCAACCTCCGAGGTTCAGGCAGAGAATATCAGACCCCGCCTGCAGTGGATCCCAGGACATTGTGGGAATTTCGGGAATGATGCAGCAGATCGACTCGCTAAGGAAGCTGCGCAACCGGGTAAAACCCATCCCTTTCGACACGCGGGAGACAGTCGCGCACGTGCCGATAGAATGCCCGAGGCTTCGAATACTGCAGGCGGAATTGAGAAGGAAAGTCGGGGATGCGATGAACAGCGTGTCGAGCCTGCTGGGAGGCTCAAACGAAGATGAGAAAGGTAAACCAGACACCGTGGAAACCAATGCCTGCAGGATGAAAATGTCCAGTTCTTCCTGCAGGTTGCGTCGAAGTACTAACCAACTACACCATTGCCACCACCGCTTTATTAAAAGGCGGGTCGGGATGAGTTTCACCATTTGGTCTGTCCAATGGTTTCTCAAACTCTGTTTTAGTGTACTGTTATAATGCCTTCTATGGATTCTAGGGCTACAGGTTTAGGACATCACATCAAAAGAAGCCAATTGGCTAATATTATGAACTTATATGATTCTGACGGCTTCCGAGCTTGAGCCTTTTCCAGATCAAATGTTCCGTGGTATTGTTCTATTGTGGGAGTTACCGTGGCGCACTATTGAGACAATGTTTTTCGAAACGATCATGCAGTCATCCATGGGATTTTTTTAGGGGATTGATAAACTCACCCCCCCTTTGGCTAATCTCACCCCCCCCTGCCTGAAATTTCTGGTATTAAATCTACCGCCTTCTTAATCGGGTGAGACACTGGAAGTGATAGCTGTTTTTGTATACCGCTTTCTACACCGCCTTTATAGTAAACTGCGGGTACCTACAATTTATATGTGAAACTCTAACAAAACTAAGTCACTTTTGTCCTACCTCACTTTATATATCAAGGACTATACCTAGCACTAGCGCTTAGCCAGGAGCTGTACCAAGTACTATAATAGGTAGACTATACGATTTTTTCTCATTAAAATGTATATTTTATTGCTATACTAGCTACCTGAGGCTGTAAGCGACCACCGGGGGTGGATACGCGTATAGGTAGACTTCCGCAAAGCTCGAAAAGCCCGAAACCCGACCCGACCCGACCCTCAAAAGGGTCGGGTTTCGAGCCTAGGTCCAAAGCTCGCAGCGGGTTTCGGGCTTTTAGGTTAAGCCCCCAGCTCGAAAGGGGGGGGGGCCATCCGAGCCTAATCCTCCGGATCATATGATTTATGAAACTTACAGCATGTTTAGAGGCTGTTTTTTAGCCTTTAATAAATGTAATATTTAAATCAATTTAGTTCTGAATAGTAGATCTAGATTTAAATATATAAATTACAGTTTAAATTTAGAGAAATTAGTTATTTAAGAAATTAAATAAATTACAGAAGTTCATATAAAATTGCAGTTGTAGTATAGTGAGTAAATATATATCTTCAAATTCAAAATAATAATTTTATTACTTTTTATATTCTCTCACTTTCTACCGGTCGCATTTAGTTTAAATTTAATATATATATTTCAACCCTCTTTCTCTTTCTATATTTAAAATTTAAATTAAATATACCTAGGAAAAGCTGAGATACAGTGATTACAGCATTAATAACTAAGCAGTTTTATGAATGCCAAGACCATATATTTATACAATTTCGAGCCTAGGGGGGGGGCCCGACGGGCCCCCCCCTTCGAGCCGGGGTCCGGGTCGAGCCCAAAAAAGTTCGACCCCCGGCCCGTTGAGGGTCGGGTTTCGAGCCCGGAGCTTGGGCCCAAAGTTGGGCTTTGCGGAAGTCTACGTATAGGTGATGATTTGCTGAGCGAAGCAGAAGCAAGTTTAGTCCGTATTTGATATAGTATAGGCTGATAGCTAGGCTGATAGCTAGGCTGATAGCTAGGCTAGACTGCGACTAGACTGCGACATCGCCCGTCCATGGGCACTAGAAAGTGTCCACGGCCCGTGGGCCTTTTGAAATTTGACGCCCATCGCCCACCGTTATGCAAAATTAATGCAAAAATTACCCTATTAGGCTATTTTATGTACATAACTAGTTCTTGGCAGTATCCACCTTGCCAAGAGTGCCCGCATATGTCTTGGCGACGCTAAAAGTGTCTCCACTTTGGTGGGCGTTGTCGCAGTCTAGTAGGAATTATATAAATATAACACTAATTCTAGTATCTTATTAGTATCTTATCAATTAAATCAAATCATTTGAATTATTTCTCTACAACTTTACTTATAAATTTGTAAAGAAAGTAAAGGAACAAGAAAATGAAGAAGAGGAAGAACATATATAATGATTCACGTAACTATAGCTTCAAGAATCCAAATGTTTACAGTCACTACGTATAAGTGTTAACACCCCTTTGAGACCCATCTATTACACCGCCCAAACGTCACTCTACCGCCTAACAAACGCTCATACAACTTATGCCATAAGGCACCCAATTGATCTGAAGCACCCGTTAAGAATTGCCTCTAGAATTTCCACATTAATTTCTATTTAGGAAGGCAAATTTTTGCATAACAAGGCGGCTTTAATAGCTACCTAGTGAATCTTGAGGGGATAATTATGCCGGCATAATATTACGTAACTACTCTATGTGGGGCCAAGGGTGTTAAGACTTATGCGTAGTCACTGTATATACAGCCTGGATAGTAATCTCAATACCTAAAAAAACCAGCAAAAAATGTATTAATTCTGCAGTTGCGATAGATTGGCATGTTTGTATTGTTTGATAAATAATGGGGGCCCAGTATGGGCCTAAATGGGCCCTGTGGGTATAAGCCCATAACCCATCGATGGGCCCGAAGGATAGGCCCAAGCCCAACCCATTAGTGGGCTGGGCTGGGCTTTGGGCTTTGTGGGCTTTGCAGAGGTCTAGTCTGGCGGCGTAGCCGCCTAGCCGGCCGTAAGCCGTTTAAAAATTTCCCTCTCCTCTAAAAGGCCGGCTACAGGCTACACTGAGTTAAATAAGCACTCTACAAGATTAATCCCTGCTATCAGCCTAGCTTAGACTGCGACAACGCCCACCAAAGTGGAGACACTTTTAGCGTCGCCAAGACATATGCGGGCACTCTTGGCAAGGTGGATACTGCCAAGAACTAGTTATGTACATAAAATAGCCTAATAGGGTAATTTTTGCATTAATTTTGCATAACGGTGGGCGATGGGCGTCAAATTTCAAAAGGCCCACGGGCCGTGGACACTTTCTAGTGCCCATGGACGGGCGATGTCGCAGTCTAGTTAACATGTATCCTTTTGGATATATTTTCCCACAAAAATGTAATAAATCAAATATAAAGAATAAAATAGAGTGTTACTAATATTATAGAAGGAATATTAATAGTAGTATACGTGGTGTAGAGTATCAGTACATAGTAGTAGTACCTTGTCACGGATAAACTATGTGCGCTATAAACTATGTGCGCTACTATATATATTGGTCCTGGGCATGTCAGAGTAGACTGCGACATCGCCCGTCCATGGGCACCTCCTAGGTGCCCATCGCCCGTCCACGGTGGGCCTTGGGCTATTTGGATTTTTGAGTGCCCGTCCATAACGCCCAAGGCCCACGGGCATGCCCACGGCGGGCATGCCCACGATGCCCACCATTATATAAAGTTGTCTTAAATATATATAAAAATTAGATATATAGTAAATTATAGTATATATATTTATATATATCTTATTAAAAATCCGGAATTATGATTGTAAATATATAAAAAATATAAATTTAGTTGAAATATTTTGAAATCTGTCAATAAAAATCACGTGTTGCGCTAATTTTGCTTACTAAAAAGGCCCACGGGCGCCCACGGTGTCCATGGACAATGGGCCCTAAGGGTAGGGCCCGTCCATGGGCGTATTGATAGTGCCCATCGCCCGCTTACATAAGGCCCGTGGGCACTGCCCACCCGCCCGTCCATGGGCGATGTCGCAGTCTATGTCAGAGCATGAGCTCTGACATAATGGTCTTTTGGCCGAGTTGGAGAATGTGCGCCCAGGCATATCCTTTACATACCTATATAGGTATGGAATATATATATCTATTATCTTAATATACAACTACTACATATATTAAAAAATTCGAGGAGCAAAATGAATTAAACAGCTTGTTCTACTATATATAGATATATTATAGGAAGTACAATCAAAAATAAATTAATTATTCTATATAATCTAAGTAAATATACAGATATTGTGGCAGAATTAGTGTTGTGTATCCTGTATACAATGTAGAATAAGGGGTGCGGTTTAGTTGTAAAGGATATGCCTGGGCGCACATTCTCCAACTCGGCCAAAAGACCATTATGTCAGAGCTCACACTCTGACATGCCCAGGACCAATATATATAGTAGCGCACATAGTTTATAGCGCACATAGTTTATCCGTGACATTAGTATGGTAGGTTTTACGCTAAGCTTTCAAGTTAACTTCATGCAGAAGCACTTGATTATATAATACTAAAAGGGCCACGGTGACCCCCGTCGGATACAGGACTTGGGAGAGGTTATCGTGACCGAATTCAATGTGGTACCCTGGCTTGTCATTACATAAGACCCCCGTTGACTGGAACCCGTGGAAGTAGGCCTACATATATTTGAAATATTGAAATTTGTTACAGGGTGGATCGAAATCAGTTTCACCACCTAGCTTGTAGAAATTGTTTTTACAACCCTATTCTGAAACACCCTAATCCTGATCTAGCTTAGCGGTATTTCAAGGATTGAATTGTATGGAAATGTGTCCCGTGGTACGTCCGACATAGTACTGGAGATAAGATACTACAAATCTGTCCCTTCCTTTTTCGAACACCTCTTTCAGATATCATCACCCCCTTCGTCAATGCACTTTCATCATAGTAATCGGACCATTTACCAACCGATAGTGCGTGCCAAACAAACAAATCAAATCGAGTTGATTCTACGGTAGGCATGGTTTGGCAAGTCCTCAATTCTGTTGCCAATACATGTTACATAGCGTGGAGCATTGCTCTAAATGATGAATGCCTTTTCGGGGAGTTCCATGGGAAAACAAAAGACTATCCCTGACCGGTGTGATCAAGGAGTAAGTCGCCTTTTTCTTTATGAGAGCTAATCCCAACGGGGCTCATCTGCAACAAAATAAAGTTAGCGGCAGCAAAACTGAATTATTCGTCGAAAAAAGCCCCCGAGACAAAATTCGATAATGCGTTGTTTCCTTGATTCCAGTATTCCTCAATTACATGAATTGGTACAAGAATGTGACTTCCTTGAAGATGCTTCGAGCGGCATTCTTTGGTGATTGCTTCATATTTACCGCAACTACAGTTATTGAGGGGACTCATGTTGAAGATTACATTGGCGAGAGCTCCCTTCAGGCAGCCACCAAGAATCTTCATATCACTCAACCCGTGTTTTACTCAGTAGGAGAGAGCAGAAGATATTCATGTGTCTACCACTGTAACCTTACCGGGAAAGAATTCCATAATGTAGCGTGGTATCCTATTGCCAATTGCAATATTTTGTTCTGTCATTGCGAACTTCAAGCCACTTGCAAATCAGGCACAAAGAAAGTCGGCCAAAGAATGCTGCATGCATGGGTGTAATATAGTTACATTCAGTCTTGTGGTTGGAATGGGCTTGAATGCAGTGACCAAATGATGATGAATAAAAGGATCCCTAATTCTCGCCAGGCTCACCACAGCATCTAAATCAATTCAATCCCCTCAGACCTGCCATTTTTTCTTTTCTCTCATCCTCAACATCGGCAAGGAAAATGACTAGGAAACGTGCTATAGATCTTACAGGGGCAGACGGGCTGGACAATGAGAAGCGAGTAAGGCTCTTAGGGGTCATTGACCGACTTCGAGAACTAGGCATCAGTGAGAATGTCTCTCTTCCCCAGGTAAGTGAATATATCAGATCCGCCCATGGACTCTACTGATCAATTGTAGCTCGTTGTAGTTGGCGATCAATCGAGCGGCAAGTCGTCCCTTCTAGAAGGTTTGACGGGTCTTTCATTTCCTGTGGCCAGTGACCTCTGTACAAGATTCGCCACTCAAATCGTTCTTCGTCGATCCCCAGAAGGGGAGGGTCAGGCCAGGATTACAATCATCCCAGGACCAACTTCCCGACTCGATGAAACCTTGAATCAAAATCTTCTCACCTTCGAAAAAACCCTCGCCGCTGCAGACTTCGGATGCCAAGAGTTCGAAGACATATTCGATTAGGTCAGGATCTCATTTTCCTGGCATTTTAGGACCCCTGTTGATATCATAATAGGCTGCTTGCTGCATGGGCATACCGGGACCAAAGGCGAAGAATTTGGAAGATGTCGAAAAAAGATTCTCAGATGATATACTCAAGATTGAGCTCTCAGGTCCAGATCATCGGCATCTCAGTGTTGTGGATGTTCCGGGTCTCTTCCACAGTGAGAAGACCCTGTATTATTTTGATGACGTTGCTAATCTCGAAACAAGATCCGACAAAGTTTCAAACCGAAGAGGACCGTGCCATTATCCGAAAATTAATCGAGGATTATATGACTGACAAGCGTACCATCATCCTGTAAGTGAATACCTGTCAGAGGGTCATGGAAGAATTGTAGGGCTTACATATGGTCAGCGCAGTTATGGATGCACGTAACAATCTTGCCAACCAGGAAGTGTAAGGAAGGTGCTCCCGGTTCGGTGTTGAAGGTGCTCACTTATACTAGGTTTTCAATGGCACGTGCTGCTGACCCAGCAGGTAAACGTACTGTTGGAATCGTCACCAAATGCGATGCTCTGCAGGCAGGAGATGAAGCTGGTGTAAGTGTTTAATTATATCGATGTGAACGCATACTGAAAACGCATCAGGTGTTGCGCATCGCTAAAAATGAGGTCGAGCGTCTCACTCACGGATGGTTTGCTGTACGAAACCGCTCCACAAAGGAAATTCAAGAGGGTATAACTATCGAGGGCCGACATCGAAAGGAAAAAGAGTTTTTCTCAACGGTGCATCCTTGGACAGAACTCAAGAAAGATCGAGTTGGTATCAACGCCTTGAAGTCCTTTCTGGGCCATCTTCTATACGACCACATTCGCTCTGAATTTCCTGCTGTCGTGGCAGATATCGAAAAGCTTTCTCTTGAGACCCAGAAAGAGCTGGAGATCCTCGGACCTTCTCGCCAAACCCCTGCAGAACAGAGAAGGTTCTTGACTCGCCTAGCATCAAGTTATCAAAATGAAGTTGATAGAGCATTGGACGGGAACTATAGTGCCGACTTGGAAGCACAAAGCCCGCTCAAGCTTCGTATGCACCTGCGGCAGCATGCAGATGATTTTGCTAGATCAATGGCTACAGGGGGTCATGCCAAAGTTTTTCGTACAATTCAAAATGAAAACGACCCGGAATTCAGCCGACTAGCAGGTGACTTGGAAAATATATACGACTGGATACGACGTTACTACCTCGAGTCGCGCGGCTCTGAACTACCTGGCACTGTCAACCCTGTTGTGCTCCAGAATATGTTTCGCCAACAATCCAGTCCGTGGGCGAATATTGCGAGTATGTATCTCGAAGAAACTGCCTCTGCAGTGCACTCCTTTAACCAACAGGTTTTGGCAAAAATCATACCCGACAACGATGTGAGAGAGAAAATAGAAAGGGTTCTATCTCCACCCGCAGAGGAGACATACCGCCAGGCCCACGACCGGCTGCTGATGATAGTGAATGACGAACGAGGAGGAATCCTTCAGACTGTGAACCACTATTTCGCTGACACTTTATCCTCGATCCGCCAGGAAAGAGTCATAGCCAGACTTGAAGGTCTCGGGCTCGAAGACGGCTTTGATTTCGACATGAAAACAGTATTGAAAGGTGTTCACTTGAGCAACGAACAACAGGCCGTTTTTGACATACACGATATCTTGAAAGCATACTACAAGGTGGCTATGAAGCGCTTCATGGACAACGTCGTCGTTCAGGTTTCTGAAAGATATGTAGTGGGGGAGGAAGGCCCAGTGAAACTGTTTTCACCCGATCTTATCGGTAGTTTTGATGATGATATGCTGACGGATCTTGCGGGTGAAAACTTCTCCACAGCAAGCCGGCGAAACGACGTGTTATCCATGGCTGCACGGTTGAGAGAGGCATTGGACATTGCAAAACGCGCTGTGCTATGACTTCAGGTATGCTGAGTGGCATTTAGTGGTTGGGGAGCCTCTGAGCAACATGTAAATTTCCCCAATAGCGCGGCTGACTCAACATCTCGTGTGTAATTCTTCTGGGCATGGTTTTTTCCCACTGGGTTTTCCTATCCACCAGCGCGAATGCGAGAAGAATCTTTTCTTTTTTGTTCCTGTTGCACCTGCGCTTGCCTATTCACGCGGTTTACGTGTTTCGATATATTTATGTTTATTTGAGGTTTTCTATAATCATCTCGATAAAGTGGAATTTCACAGGGTGGACTACTACGCTACGCCTGGAAAATGACCTATGGCTTAAAAATCCCTCAAATCAATTCGACCGCCGATAATTAGCCAAAGCATTTCCGATATCCATTGATTTCAAGTGTCGATCATTATGAGAACCAAAAAGTTACGTGGCTCGCCGTTTCTTCGATTGCCTCAAAAGAGAAGCCCCCAGCTTTGAGAGGAGTCACCGAACCATTTATCTATCGGATTACAAAAGGAACGTTCTAGAAACAACCCAGACTATTCAAAGTTAATACACAGGCTATTTTTGTTTTGTCATTTGTAACTGTTTCGAATTACCGCCAAGACAGGGGCTAAGGGGAAGAGTAGCTGTAATAAGTATACCGTGTTTCAAGAGAGGGTTCGAGATAGATTCTCCGTGTGCAAGTGGGGAAACTAATTTCGATCCATCCTGTAGTTGCTTCGCTTCGCTCAGCAAAATAAACTAGAATTATATGGTGGTGGCAGAATGTATGGCAGAAAACTCCATATAGGTAGAAATATTTGGCAGAATCCAGTATCACACCCAGTTAAGAAGGCGGTATAGTTAATACCAGAAATTGCAGGCAGGGAGGGGGGTGAGATTAGCCAAAGGGGGGGTGAGTTTATCAATCCCCTTTTTTTAGAGGTCATTCACTGGTAGCATTATAAACTGCATCGACCGGGGGCTATCACAAACACCCTGGGATGCATCAGCTTCAGACTTCCCGGCTGTTTGTACCGTATCGGTAAATTTGAAAGCCTCACGGGCCGAATAGCTGGGGTCCAACTCGCAAAACTCTTCACAGGCTAACTGCGCCTTGAGTGCCTGGTCAGCCAGGTCGTGCACCGAGACTTGAAGTTCTTGTGCGACCTGGTAGACGAGGTAGAATTCGTTATCGGAGAAACCAAAAGCGCCGGATTGGTGTAGGTGAAGTAGGTCCTCGGACGCTTGCTCGGCCTTGTCCTGGAGGTGTTTGAAAAGGGCGTAGCAGGTACGGAAATACACATTTTCTCCCTGTTGTCGGCCGATCTGTCGAACGATATCGACAATTTCCTCCATAGCGCTCTGTTGATCTTTACTCTGATGTGGGAAGGTGGCTGTCATTTTTGGCGGCGGTGATAATCTTATACTGTAAAAATTCCGACAAGAACTCAATTGCTGGAGATCCAGGACATGGAGAGTCATTGCTTGGCACCAACTCATTGAGAAATGTTTAACCATCATGTAAAGCCTTCTTTCGGGGCCGGTTGAGAAACTTGAAAAGACTTCCATTGTTTTAGCCCGAATAAATACTGTTGTGAAACCGGTGGGCTACTTGACCAGAATTGAGGGGTGGCAATTAGTGGCGGCGTTGTTGGCCAGCTTTGTAAAATTGTCCTCATAAACAAAATTGCTTAGATCGGAATGCACCCATTATTTGATTATTTCAATATGATGGCGTGAGTTCATGTGTCAGTTATTGATAAGCGTGAGATAGACCGAGGGTAAGCCAGCCAACCCAAGCAAACGATAGGCTATCGCTGACCGCCACATAAATGATGCCCCCCAGAAATGGGGTGCCAAGCATGGTTAATTTCCGTACCGGTACCGCTTAATCTCCTAACCACCCTCTTATAACAACCCTCTCCTAACAACCCTTTCCTAACAACCCTCTCTTAGCCATTCTTACTAAAAGCCATTGGTTAATGTCATTTGTTAACCGTTGCACGATGTCTGACCTTCTCTCTCACGATGTTTCCTACTACAGTGAGTCTCGAAATCGGCTTGACCAGTACACACTCACACTCTCTCTTCCAGCCCCACCGCCAAGACTTTAGCGCAGATCATTTATTGAGCGGGCCGCATCAAACTGAGGGGCTCAGTAAAATGCGTCGTGTATATTGCAGTAACATGGTACATAAGATTACATTACGTGTACAGTATGAGAGGGAAGCCCATAGATTACCATGGAATCATGGTGGATCTCCACGAGTCATGTGGGGAAAGGCCACCTTGCGCTAGTAACCTGATGATCTGCTGGGGGACTTCTTCTTCCCTCTCCTCTTCCTTTGTGCGGTGTGTGCTATCCATCACTTGCGAGGTGTCTCTTTGGCCCAGAGTACCTCAACAAGTGATATTAGCGGCCAAGGACCATCCTGACCAGTTGGCGGTTGTTTGCAGGCGAACAATACCCTCAACGGCACCGAATGGTGTAAGCCTCAACTAATTATCACTCACCCTTAGTCTGTCGTTACCGTAGGCCCAAGAAAATGACTACCAGTTCTCTCGTTAGCCATGATGATTATGGCGTTCAACATCTTGACCAGTGGGTCGATACATCACAATATGCACCAACACCTGGCAACTTTCGTTGGTCATCCGCCTCCCCTTCCGACATAAGCTGCCGTAACGTCGATCCCGTCTCCCCTGTTGATTCCGCCTCTCCAAAACAAACTGCTTCACAAAAGAACGGTCTTCCATTACTCCAGTACGGTGATTGGGAGGAAGGTCGAACATACGACGAGGATCCACCGACTTGTATCCACTATTTGATCGAGTGGAAGATCACTCTCAATAACAGGACGGTGGCGAAAGATACAGAACAAGATCTGGTTCTAGCCCCTCGGTATCACTGGAGACTTTTTTTGCAACCAAAGCTAAAGGAGCTACTTGTACGAAAGTATCCGTATCGAAAACTTGAATCGGATGACACGTCTATTGTCGTATCCGCCACTCGGCAGAAAGGCTTCACTCTGAGATTTGATGGAACCGACATTAATTGGGCCTCTATAGAAAAACAGCTTTTGGATTGGGGAGACCTTTTTCTTGCTGGCAAGAAACTGAGACTGGTTATCTCATTCAATTATATGGAGAACACTTCGGCCTCAAACGTAAGCGGCAGGACGACTGATAAACGAGGCACTTCATCTGCTACCCAGCGGATGCTTCAAGAACGAGACCGACAGATCTATGCCGAGGAAGCAGCTTCTGGAGAGCCACCTGCCTGGAAAGAGGTATATGCTTTAATGCGCTGTCCTGGGTCCTGCGAACTGGGCCCGCACTGTTGGCAGGATCCTTATGGGAAAAAACACTATAAACTCTACCGGGATCAGCTGGAGAGCTTGGTGAAATATGTGCAAAGCGGTGGGATTTTACAGTCGCATGACGATGTACCTGGAATGATTCGTGAGCAAATCTATAGAGCAGAGAGACAACGGCTCGACAGACCGCGGGCCAATAATCGATCTACCGCCGAAGCAAGCTACCCTCCCATTACTATCACAAATGTGCTTCCCACACAAGCTCCGCAAGCACCGGGGTGGTCAACATCCACACTTCCAGAGGACACTACTGCGTCTTCGGTCGAGGTTCCTGCCATCCAAATCCCAGGCCTTCTTGATGTTGCTGTGAGAGAATACAGCAGCTGGCAGCAGTCACGTTTGGGGGATGAGGCATTGAAAGCCGAGGTCAGGAAGGCGTGCGATGTAGCCCTAGATGATGGACTAGACTTGGCGCAGATTGATGAAGACAAAGATCCCAATTATTTCAAGGCGCGTGGTGTCAAGTGGGGTATTGCTCGGCGTTTTGTCAAGGACATTAGGTACTGGGCAGAAAAATACAACGGATGCGAGAGAAGCGAAGCGGATATATAGTTTGAGCATTAGTTATTCTAGTGAGTATTGGTTATCCTGGTGGGTTCTTTTCGGCGTCTACAGTAGAATTCGAAATCAGTTTTAACTCTACACTCTTACTTTTTATGTCCCGGACCCTAAGTGGAGACACGCTAATCTAATTTTAGCTCTTCCCCTGTTAATCCATGTAGGGCTGTATTGTATTCACTGGTAACCACAATGAGTCATTGTTATAGTACCGTAATTTCATGTAGAAACCGATGGAATCCATCGTGCAAACAGGGTCCCACCTTCGTTATGTAAAATACAATGTCTATTCTTGGAAATCACAGATCTACCACTATTCCAAATATGAACTAGCGTGTTTCAGATTAGGGTTCGCGAATCAAGTCGCAAGAGTTGCGGAGTTAAAACTGATTTCGAATTCTACTGTATATAATTCTCGCCCCTCTCCCCTATTCTGTTCGCATTCTTCAACTCCGACCTAGTTGACCAACCTGTCAACTCTCACGGCGGCGCATCCGCCTTTATCGATGACTACTTCCGGTGGCGAGTAGGACGCTCAGCCGAAGAGAACCTCACCAAGATTCAATCGGAAGACGTTCCCCGCATTGAGGCATGGGCCCGTCGAACTGGGTCTTGCTTCGCAGCCGAGAAAACCGAACTGATTCACATTACCAGGAAAAGACGCGAACAGCTTCAGGGTCAAGTCGTTATGAACGGGAAAACAATCGAACCGTCGCCCACGGCCAAGCTGCTGGGGGTGGTGTTCGACCAGGAACTTCGCTGGAAGGAACACGTCCAGCAAGCGATCAACCGCGCAACCAAGGTCAGTATTGCTTTGGGTGGGCTGCGGCATCTACGCCCAGAACAGATGCGACAGCTCTACCAAGCCTGCGTAACGCCGGTCATGGACTACGCGTCGACGGTCTGGCACGATCCTTTGCGAGACAAGACTCACCTACGACACTTAAACACAGTCCAGAGAACCGCATTGATCCGCATCTTATCAGCTTTCAGGACAGTAGCCACCACGACTCTGGAAGTAGAGGCACACGTTCTGCCAACGCACCTGCGCCTCCGCCACCGAGCCCAGAACACCATCACAAGCCTTCACACTCTGCCGCGCGATCATCCTATTTGGGATGCACTACGGCGAGCCCAGAAACGGAGGAACAACATCGGGTCGTACGCTCGTTTCCCACTGGCGGAAGCCCTGAAGACCATGAACCTAGAAAGATTAGACGAACTAGAGACGATCGATCCACGACCGCTACCGCCGTGGCGCGCCGAGTCCTTCACGGAGATTGAGATCGGGTCAGACCGAGAGACGGCAAGAGAACGGGCTGAGACTGTGCGGTCCTCATCCGCCATCGTGGTCTACTCTGATGCATCGGGACGTGAAGGCCACCTGGGCGCCGCTGCCGTAGCACTCGACAATAACCTGCAGGTTATCGAATCCCAACAGGTCCAAGTGGGACCGATGGACCGGTGGTCGGTTCACGTAGCAGAGCTGATAGGTATTTTCTACGCTGTCAGTGCAGTGTTCAAGATCAGCCATCAGCGGCCAAGAAAGGAACATGATGGAACAACAACGGCAACGATCCTCTGCGACAGCCGATCAGCGCTGCAAGCAATCCAGAACCCAGGAAACAAATCAGGACAGCGCATCAACCACGCGATCCTCCAGGCAGCCGCAGAGGTTCAAGCAAAGGGAATTGCGCTCCGTCTCCAATGGATACCCGGACACTGCGACAACGCGGGGAACGACGCAGCAGATCGGCTGGCCAAGGACGCGGCAAGCCCGGGCAAAACACACCCCTTTCGCCCGTTGCTGACAAGGAAGAGGGCGCTTATCCGAGACACCATCCGCGCTCAGTGGGAGCGGGAGTGGAGAACATCTACCAAAGGCGGTCACCTGCGAAAAATTGATAGCACCCTACCGGCGGCCTACACCAGGAAGCTGTATGGGAATTTGCCCAGGGGCCGGGCGTACCTGCTGACACAGCTACGCACGGGCCATAATTGGTTATCCACCTATGCCAAGACCTTCGGCTTCCGCGACAATGATCAGTGCGTGTGCGGCGCGCAAGAAACAGTCACCCACGTGCTGGTGGACTGCCCAAATCTGAGGGAAATTCGACGGAAGTTAAGGAGTGAAGCAGGGGACGCGTTCAACAGCGTATCGAGTCTGCTGGGAGGCTCAACTGAAGGTGAGAGAGGTAAACCAGACACCGTCTCGCGGGCTACGACGGTCAAAGCCGTCCTGGACTTCGCTGAGGCGTCACAACGATTCCAAAGTCGCGCCCCATGAGGGCAGCCTAATAACATGAGCGGCAACTAGGCCACGATAGGCCTCGACGAGGCTCCAAGTTCGTTTTCAGGAAGTGGGACATCATACATGTACATACACGGATATATATAGCTGCTGTAGCCTGTATATCGCTTTGCGAGAGGTCGGGGTAAATGAAATCTACTACTACTACTACTGTATATAATTTAAGATATCTTCCATGTCCCGGCTTGAGAAAATCAAAATTCATCGATTAATAGACCCGCATTTCGGAAATGACCCTCCGCGCTCGAAACCCTTGAACCAACCACATCAACGCACCATTCGAGAAATGCATCGAACCCTTGGTTTGGATTCATTTCATACTCATTCCACTTGCGCTTGATAAATCGTTTTAGCTCAGAGAAGAACTCTTCAATGGGGTTCAAATCCGGCGAATAAGGAGGGAGATATATCAGCTTAACACCGGCATCCAAGCACATTCGCCGGATGTTCTCTGTACGATGAAAAGAAGCATTATCCATAACGAGAACAGACTTTGGCTCTGGCCATCTATTACAATGCTGAAGGACTTGCTCGATGAAGTCTTCGAAAACATCGGCATCAGTCGCGCCTTGAAATACTCGACACAGGACCAGTCCATCTTGAGCATACGCAGGAAGTATCTGATAGCGTCTGTCCCTGTGGAATTTGGAGACCTGCACTGGTGTCACACCTAGAGGTGACCAACCAGTCCGTCGAAAACCGGCCCTTTTATCACAACCTGACTCATCCACGAAGATTAATTGGTATGACTTGAAAGAAGATATCTTGTGAAGGTAGAAGTCCCGTAGATCAGCATTGCGTTCCTTGGCAATCTGGCGTGCTGCTTTCTTCGACCATCCGACCGAAGCAAGCGCCCTGCTAATGCTTTGAATTGTCACATGCTTTCCAAATTCGTCCCACAGAAAGAGGGCCATCTCGTCTTGGTATAAGGTCGGCTTCTCTGTCAAATGTTCACAAAGAGCTTCGAGCATAGGTGGTGTGATGCTTCGCGGGCGTCCAGCACCATTTCGTGGCGCCCTAACGTTCCCGAATACTTCGAGGTTGGAGCGAATTCGTACTACGGATTGCTTGCTGCAGCCAGCCGCATGAGCCATCTCAGACATTGTTAGTGAGTTACTCTCGATCATGTGATGAATGAACTCGAGCTGCGGGGGTTTGAAATTTGGTGCCATAGTGCTCCAAACGAAGTGGAGTGGTTGTCTGAATGGTCGTGCAACGTGGACCTATTCCAGGTCCCGCAGGGGATTAGCCCCTGATATTACGGGCCGACGATAAGTCCGATGTTACCTGCGCCGATGAATTCTATGCGATTCCAGGGGATTCTCTGCAGTGTGATTGGTGCCTGGTAGGTGACTCTCAAGCGAAGTCATGTACTGTCAAGGCAGTTCATCTCATTTAAGAGCTACGATCGAGCTGATTCTGTATAAGCGGCCGTATGGGCGGACCGAGCCGGCTTGAGTTGACCCATTTCTAAAGTTTAATGCCAGCAGAACAGTATGCTGCGGTGGGCCGACGGAAACCACCGCGACTCTTGGTTCTTCCATGATAATTCCAAGGGCACGTGCACCACTTAACTGGCCGGGTGTGTAGCCTCGTCAACCCGCCTGCTCCTGACAAATTCCCGACCTCATTCCCACGACATCTGCTTTATAATAGTATTCTTCTCCCATGTTCCACGCAAACTGACAGGTCAGAAATCATTAGGTACAATCCGATCGTAGGGGAGTCAATACACTATGGATGCCAGGACTCGATCCCACAACGATTATACGGTCGGATGGATATGCGCCTTGCCAGTGGAGACGGCGGCTGCAAAGCTGATGCTTGACAAAATACACCCGCCTTTACGTCGCCTGCCAATGGACCAAAATGCATACATTTTTGGAAACATCGGAGAACACAATGTCGTCATTACTACCTTACCAACTGGCGCATACGGAACTACATCAGTCGCAACGGTTGGGATGCAGTTACTCTCTAGTTTCCACGCTATCCGCTTCGGCTTGATGGTCGGTATCGGCGGCGGAGTACCTAGCAGCTATGCAGACATTCGACTCGGGGATATTGTAGTGAGCCAGCCGACGGAGACTTCCGGAGGCGTGATCCAGTACGATTTAGGTAAAGCACTGAGCGGCGGGCAATTTAAGCGAACTGGAATGCTCAATCGACCACCTAAGGTTCTATTGACCGCTCTCGCGACTCTCCAGGCGCATCACCTCACGGAAGATAGCCAGGCTGTCGGATTTATCTCTAATCTGCAAGCCAAATTATCGCCCCACAAAGCTACTAAATTCACGCGACCGACGCAAGAGGACTGTCTATTCCAAGCAGAGTATGACCATGCCATATCTGATACGTGTATTGATTGCGATCGATCTAGATTGGTCTCACGAACCCAACGAGAGCACCAAGAACCAGTAATTCACTACGGACTCATCGGATCGGCAAATCAGGTGATAAAGGATGGCAGGCGGCGAGATCAGCTAGCTCGGGACTTGGATATATATTGTGTGGAGATGGAAGCGGCAGGACTTATGAATGACTTTCCGTGTTTGGTTATTCGTGGCATCTGCGACTACGCCGACTCACACAAGAATAAAGAATGGCAAGGGTATGCCGCGGCGGCGGCGGCAGCCTATGCGAAAGAGCTTCTCTTGGTGATTGCAGTCGATCAGATTAACTGCACACCAACTGCAAGAGACACACTCGCAGACTCTGGTGAGAGCATGTCAATAGTATCCCTTAAGTAATTCGAATCGATTGCTAAATATTGTTCACATATATAGTTCGCCGCTTTGATGTCCTTTTAGACCTAACGGCTGTGCCAGTAATTGAAAACTTCGTGGGACGGCAAGGCGAGCTAGAACAACTCTGGCAGTATTTACAGCCCAGGGATTCCCAGTCACGAAAGGTTGCAATTATTCATGGGCTTGGGGGGATGGGAAAAACACAATTAGCTATTCGTTTCGCACGAGATCACAAACATGATTTCACTGCCATTTTCTGGCTGAGTGGTAAGGACCGAGGCACGCTATTACAATCCTTGAGCTCTATCTTGCCCCGATTACCAGAACAGTCATCTACTGACGAGGCAATGAATGACGAGGAGGTGAAGCAACGAGCTAGACAAGTGTTAAAGTGGCTAGCAGTAGAGGGAAACTCACGCTGGCTAATCATTTTCGACAACATTGACCAATACTTCCCATTCAAAGGCCCCATTGGCGATGCATATGATATTGCTGATTTCATCCCTGGAGCCGACCACGGCTCTATTATTATGACTACTCGGCTACAAGGGTTGACAGAGCTAGGACAGTCATTTCCTCTCTATAAACTTAACCCTAAGGATGCGATTCCGCTACTCTTACAAAGCAGCCGCATATCACGGAAGAATATAGCTAAGGAGATTGAGAGCCATCCAGGTATTGAGAGGCACAATACTCAGATCTTGTTTATGATACTAATAAATGTAGATACTGTTGCTCTTGCGAACCGTCTAGATGGACTTCCACTAGCAATCGCTATTGCCGGAGCGTTCATGCGTGAAACTGGAACCAGTGTTCATGAGTACTTACAGTATTACCAATCATCTTGGTCCGACCTACAGCTGCAATCAAATCCTGAACGCCAGTACCAGCAAGGTAATATGCTGCAAACATGGATGATCTCATATCGCGAGATTCAGAAGCGCGACCCGAACGCAGCAGCACTGCTACTGTTTCTTGCTCATTTTGATAATCGGGATATCTGGTATGAATTGATACAAAGCAGCCACCATAGCTCAAGTGCCCCGATCTGGCTGAAAAGGACAATATCAAGTGCACTAGCGTTCAAAGCCGGTATGAAGACCCTAGTTGGGCTTTCTTTTCTTGAGACTAAGGAACAAAGCGGAAGCTATATGATGCACCCAGTGATACAAGACTGGTGCATTCATCTTGCCAGCAGAGAGAAGAATGTGGATCCTCTCCATCTTAACGCACTAGCGCTTATGTCTGTTGGGTACACTGTTCCCAGGGTGGGTGACAGAAAGTATCTCGAGCTTCAGCAGCGGCTTCTGCCGCACGCGAAATATGTGGGCCATAAGGACTGGTCAGAGGAAAATATCAGAGTATGGGAAGCGTTGCATCGATTAGGAAATCTCTTCCATGCCCAGGGAAAGCTTGACGATTCGGTTGAGATGTACCAGAAATCACTGGCTGGCAAGGAGAGAGTCTTAGGTCAAAATCATCCTTCCACGCTTGATACAGTCAGCGATCTGGGGAACCTCTATAGAGAGCGGGGGAAGCTTGAGGAGGTGGAAGATATTTACCGGCGAGCAATAGCTGGCTATAAAGAGGCTCTCGGTCCGGATCACCCATCTACTTTTAAAGCAGTCGGCAACCTCGGGAATCTCTACAGAGATCAGGGGAAACTTGAGGAGGCTGAGGAGATGTACCAGCAAGCACTCGCTGGCAAAGAGAGGGTCCTCGGTCGAGAAAATACTTCCACTCTCAACACGGTCAGCAATCTTGGAAACCTCTACAGAGATCAGGGGAAACTTGGGCAGGCGGGGCAGATGTATCAACAAGCATTGGCTGGCTATGAGAAGATTCTTGGTCCAGATCATCCATTCTCGCTTGATGCAGTTGGTAACCTTGGGACCCTCCACCGAGATCAAGGCAATCTCAAAGAGGCGGAAGAGATGTACCAGCGAGCCCTGATAGGCTATGGAAATTATCTGAGCCAAGATCACCCTTCTATTCTCACCATAGTTGGCAACCTTGGTGGTCTTTATAGAGATCAAGGAAGATTAGAAGAGGCGGAGGAGATGTATCAGCAAGCACTGATTGGCAAGGAGAGAATTCTAGGTCCATCTCACACTTCTACTCTCAAAACAATCAGCAATCTCGGGAGTCTCTACAGAAATAAGGGAAAGCTGAAGGACGCGAAGGAGATGTACCAGCGAGCACTGGTAGGCTATGAAAACGCCCTACATCCAGATCACCCCGTCACTCTGAGTATAATTGGCAATCTTGATAGTGTCTGCCGAGAAGAAAGTGAACTGGATAAGTTAAAGGAAGCTTGCAGCGAGAACTAGCTGGCTATCAGAAGGAAAGAGGTCCTGTAAATCTAGCGTGGCGTGTTATACTGTAGTGTTATACAGAGATGAAAAGCACAAAGCAGCTTGGACCAGAGGGGTCCATGGCATTCGATGGACTTTTTGCACGCATTATTTAATATGACGGAGTTTGTTAAAGCTTTATAATGTACAGGGTGGACTTTCTCCACATGACTTGCAGAGATCTACCATAGAATTCCATGGGCTTCTATAGGATTTCCTTTCATACACGCAATGTAATCATATTACTGTACGTATTGCTGTAACATACACGACGCGTTTTACTGAGTCCCTCCTTTTGATGCGGCCCGCTCAATAAATGATCTGCGCTAAAGTCTTAGCGGTGGGGCCGGGAAAGAGTTTCTCAGTGTGTATCGGTCAAGCCGATTTCGAGAACGACTGTAAGTTGTATTGGTTAGGTCCTAGACAATATACACAGACTAGGGCGGCCTCGATTCAGCAGCTGCTTCGCTCTTGCTATTCACCTTAAAAAGCCCAGTTTTCCCCATGTCCTCTCTCCAACAAGTACACGGCCCACGACCTAAATGGCTGAACCGAAAGCGCAGTCCTTGCACGATTTTGCAATTCTCAGTGTAATCAATGTCTTTGGATTGCTTTACTTTTACCTTTTTGTGCTCCATTTTCTGCTCTTCTATTTCCCCTCGTCCCCCAGAGGAATTTTAGACTCCCTGTCCGTGCTATTTTTTTGCGCAGGTGTTATCTTCTGGTGCACGTCCAGCCTCTTCTACCGCTTTCTAGATGCTTTCCGGGGTAATGATGCGGTAGAGTGGCAAAAGCTAGAGTTTGGAGCCACTTTAGTCCTAATTTGGGCGACCACCCTTCCTTCGGCGGTTTTTTTATTCCACACCGAACCCTACCTCCAGCTCGGATACATATCTGCCTTCACCGTCGTTGCTGTCGGGATTCTGGTGGACTTTGTAATTTGCGATCCTAGTTGCTGTGCAGTGCGGTACCGGTTTCCGTACAGCTGCGTTTCACTGGGCTTACTTTCGCTTATACCAACCATTTATGCTGTCACTGGGAAATCCCAGAGTGTGCCCTTATTGGCGATATATCACGGCCGAATGGCCATCTGGAATTCTCTTGGCGCTACATTCTATCTGTTTCGTCCGTTGGAAAGGATTGGAGTGGTGAATGGCTGGCGGCCCAGTCTCTATATGATGCATTTAGTCCTGGCCTACAACGCCGTCACTTATTCAAGGGCTGTCTTGCATGCGGTGGCTCAAAACGCAGCTTAAGCTTCATTGGGTTCTGGAGAAGGTGTGGCAGACTACAAAATAGGCGTGAGCAGAACATTTGATAATCATTTACCTCTCATATCGGGCCCTTACCTGGATTTTCTTCTATGTCGATCAAAAAGGCTACATCCCTGGTGTTCAAATCTGGACAATTCAATGTTCTTCGTCTGATTACAATTCCGATAGCCAAGATCTTGTGTACTTCGGATTGCTGACAATCTGTATATATATCTGAGACATAACCCCCGCATCGTAAAAGCAAACCTCCCAAACTGCCTCCCAGACTATTGATTGTTTGTGTGATGAGCTCACGTATACATAGAGATATATAGCGTCTCGAGATAAGCAATCAATATTAAGAACAACTAAGTCGACACTGGATACTGTACAAGACGTAACGCGAGGAAGCTTGTCGCTTTTCGCGCTCAGGGGAACCCGTACATACCATGTGGGTCTCGCAGACTATATCTCCATTCACCGTGTATTTGGTGATAATCAATTCCTCTTGCACGACAGTAGACGTGAGTGGTGTTTGCCAGGTCAATCGACCACTATAGATAAACCTTATCACCTGGTGCCTTAGTCCTGGTGACACACTTGTGCAATCTCAGTGAAAACTCGATACCAAGATTGCACCCTAAACGCAAGAGATCAGATTTCCACTTCTATTTTCTCTCCAAGCAAACGGCCTAATGCCCATTGATATGGAAATATTGGATGTTTACACCGGGTCAACGCAAGTCTCGCTTGACCTACTACTGTCACCTATTTTGTAGGATTTGACCCTTGTGCAAACTTGTGCAATCGGTTGTGTTTTACAGGGCGACCGCAATATGACCGTTTCGACCGCGACTGACCGTTTCTGTGAGGGCCTAAGCCCGGGGAGGGATATATATTAGTCAGCAGACTAGTTAACTAACGTATTTCCCGGGCGAGCTGCGCACCCCACCCAACCTATTAAATTTAAATATATTTATCTCAACCGAAACACCATTAAATTAATTCAACTAATTAATTGGTCTATTTGGACATGTTTCCCTTCGATGCCCTGGCAATCTGTATATTCCACACCCGCGGGGGGGCCGAGTACGTGGCCGAATACCCGATTCTATAGAGGTGCCAGGGCCGGGGGGGAGTGCTTCACTTGCTTCCTGTTGCTGTATAATTAATGCAGAGGCTTCTTCGACTGAGAGACCTTCTTCAGAGGGTATATGCCTTCGAGATCTAGTCCGCTTTTGCTTCTGCTTCTCGTTTTCAGCGCGTAATTCCTTGTTTTCCTTTGCTAATAAAATAGCACCTTGCATTGTAAGACGGAAGCCTTTTATAAGCTGGTTTAATGCACGATCTAACGGGCTAGGTGGGCTTCGAGACCTCGTACGAAGTAAAGCTTTGATTGACGAAGCCTATCGACGTAGTTCTTTCTCTGTAGCAGGTGTTTTTAGTGTGAAATTCCGGCTTGAATCGCTCCCCCTACTTGGAGGGGGGGTTAGGGTTCGAAGTCGAATATTGAGCTTTGATATCACTTGATCAGGTGCAAAAGGTACTAAACCAGCTGCTTTGAAGCTATTCTCAATAGTCTCTGGTTTAAAAGCTTTAATTCGTGCGAGGGGGTATACTTCGAGGAAGTCAAGTTTATCAATATGATTCACTTAGAGCCTTATTTTTGTCTCTACCAGCCGCCCGTATGATCGTTTTAACACAGCAAAACAGCCAATATCGAGAGGCTGTAAAAGATGAGAGGAGTGCGGAGGTATACAAATAGGTATTATCCTATTTTGCTCGCAAAGTTCATCGAATTTTGGGGTTAAATAACTCCCGTATCCGTCAAGAACTAGCAGCCTATACCTTCCCTTCGTACGAAGAGAAGTACTAGGAATAAAGAGCTTTTCAAGCCAGCGAACTCCTATTTTATCTGAAGTCCAACTATTAGGACTAACTTCGATTCGCCAGTCGTTTGGTAGGCCTTCAAACCATGATTCAATAAAGACTTTGCCTTTAAAAATCACACACGGAGGAAGCGCCCAGCCAGACGAATTTATACACTCAATAACAGTCACCTATTCACGATTTCCAGGTTGTAAAAGTGAACGCCGGTCGTAGAATTCACTCCTCGTTATCACCTTTGCCGTAGAAATTAATCCCATCGCGAAACCAGTCTCATCAAAGTTATAAATATCATCGGGGTCGATTCCAAATTGGAGGATTGTTTTTTGAACAAGATCAAACCACTCTTGAATGATTTTTGGGTCTTCGCATTTTGCACGTTCGTAATTATACCGTTTCGAGAACCGGGAGGAGAGGAGAGGACGTCTTTTAACGAACTCTGTGACCCAGTTTTTGCCGACTGAAATAACTGGGGTAGTTTCACGCTTTTGAAGGAGAAGATTGGCTATTTCTCGAACAGTAGAGGGCCGGGGGGCTGATCCACGGGAATCTATAGAGATAATCCATTTCTGAAGAGATTCCTCTTCAATTTCTGTCAATTTATACGAATTAGCGCGAGAAATCGCGCGGAATGTAGTTCCACGAAGACGCGCCCGGAGGGTTGATTCGGGTACGTTAAAACGGCGCGCCACTTCACGAACTGAAGAGATTTCTTTGTTCTTAAAAGCCTGGGTAGCTAATAAGATCCTACCCTCTTGCTCGGTTGAATTTCTAGAGGATCGGGAGCGAATTGGTGGCATGGTGGGTGGTTGAAGAAGAAAGTGTTAAATTAATTGACACGTTTTAGGTGGGGTGCGCAGCTCGCCCGGGAAATACGTTAACGTATTTCACTACCGAGCCGGCCACACCACCGAGCCGGCCACCCCCCAAACACATAGTAAATGCGATTAATTACAACTTGATATCTCAACAACCACGTTTTTGTTTGATTTTATTACCTATAGATAGCTATTGATAAGAATTTTAAATACTATGTAGCAATCTTAAAAATATCGAAGAGGTGCATCATTACGGTATTGAAAATTACAGTGCTAAAAGCCAGAAGTATATATACTACAATCACAAAGTCATATATATTTCCCAAACTCGCGAGAGAAGCTAGAAATTACCTAAAGAGCATTAGTCTATAGGGAAATCGTTATATAAACGGCCGTTGTTGAGATATCAAGTTGTAATTTATCGCATTTACTATGTGTTTGGGGGGTGGCCGGCTCGGTGGTGTGGCCGGCTCGGTAGTGAAATACGTTAGTTAACTAGTTAGTTAGTTACTTCATAACTATTACGTAGCTATACAGTAGCAATAAGATCATCTTTACCACCACCTACGTTTCCGTAACACACTGGTAGCATGTCCCTTTAAGAGCCAGAGGTTCCTCTGGTGGGCTTACCAATTGGTTATTGAACCAACCGGTGTCTCTTTACCCCTGGGTTACCAGCGGTAGGAGAAGTAAAGGTCTCGTCATATTCAACCTTACTAGGCCTCTGCAAAGCCCACAAAGCCCAAAGCCCAGCCTAAGTTGGGCTTTGGGCCTATCCTTGGGGCCCATCGATGGGTTATGGGCTTATACCTTGAGCCCATAGGGCCCATTTAGGCCCATACTGGGCCCCCATTATTTATCAAACAATACAAATATGCCAATCTATCGCAACTGCATAATTAATATATTTTTTGCTGGTTTTTTTAGGTATTGAGATTACTATCCACGCTGTATAGTATAAAAATTTTAAAGCTACTATACGTGAATCATTATATATATTCTTCCTCTTCTTCACCTTCTTGTTCCTTTACTTCCTTTACAAATTTACAAGTAAAGTTATAGAAAGAAATAGTTAATTCAAAGACTTTGATTTGATTTAATAAGATACTAGAATTAGTGTTATATCTATAATATTCCTACTTCTTACCATGATAATTAAATATTACTGAGTATACAGGTTGGAACATACGTAAATTACAGTCATTAATCAGGTACTTTATATATACCAAGAAGATAGTATTTATGCAGCGAAATGGGCTTTGCAGAGGCCTAAACCTTACTGTCATCTTTACCACCACCACCGCCACCTACGTTTCCGTAACAGTTTCACCACCACCTAATCCGTGGCCCCACGTGAACCGTGCACCGACATACCCTGTTCTGCTCCTTTAAACGTTCTCATTATTTTCTCTCGAACAGCGACTCTTCGGTCTTTTCTTCAATATTCTGGTTACCAATTTCGGCGAAGATACCATGGCCACCGCTGTGGTCAGTTGGTTGCTTGTCGCTCATACCGAACGACCATTGAGCTTAACAACGCGCTTCACAAGACCTAGCGGCCTGCCGGTGAAGAGCGGTTGCAAAAACGGCACTAAGCCTGTTTATCAGTGACCGGATGAAATAGCTTACCAACGCGATGTATAACCCACGGATATTAGAGATTTTCCTCCGCGCAATGCCTAGGCAACTTGACTTGGCGCTCAGATAGATACGTGCTTATAAGCCTCTTGCTGTCCAGAGCGGATGAGTGAAATGAGCACAGAGGACAATGCTAGAGACCTTGCCGAGTGAGATTCTGATGCTGATCGCAGATTGGGTAAGCTTCAGCGTGTTTGTTTTGTTTGGTCCAGGTACTGACCCCCCGTCAGCTGCCAGCTACCACTCTGCGCGTTCTCAGCCGCGCCTCGTCCAGATTGTATGCAGTGTTGATTCGTCGGATATACCGTACAGTGTCATTCTATGCAGCAAGTGAATGGGCACTGAATGTGTTGGATGTCGACCCCTTCTTTCGCCATCTCGGTCCTTCACGAGCCGCGGACTATCTCCAGCACACGCGGCACCTACAGTTCAGGGCTCCATTTCATCTTGTTCGGTTTAATCGATGTGTATACTACAACATCTTTCGTGCGACGGGGCTGTCGGAGTCCCCAGCCCCACTAGGAGCATCGGATGAGGCGACGGCACATCAGCAATTCCTGGACGACGTGAAGGATCAGTTGCAGCTGATATTCACTTACTTGGAGCCGAATAGACTGAGAACATTTGAGTCAGTATAAGCGGTACTCATCGACCTAAACCTGTGACTGACTAACAATAGATGGCGACTGGGGACGTGTGTTCCAGTGGGGGTTCTCGACCAGGAAGGTTATCTCAGTCAGTACCAACAGGGCCTCACTTGTCTCTCACTCGTCACTGACGGCACCTGCCCTGATACGTCGCACCGCTTGGAAGGAATATCCAGACTAACCTGTCTGACGGCGTTTGAGTGGGAAGGACTCCAACATCCGTCCGAGGTTGATTTGTTGCGACGGTGTATCCGTCAGAACTGGAAATGCCTGGATCATCTGTCCATCGGCTTCGTTCCATCGGCTTTTGCCCGTGCTCTGTGTTGGCAGAGTTTTGGGCTTCAGCAATCGGAGCTTGAGGACGGGGACAGAGGGGCCGGCGGCACTACGAACGGGGATACAGGGATTGCGAATCCCCCAGCTCTTTCCGCTCTGTCCACGCTGTCATTGTCAAAGGTGACCTTGCCACTGGATATCTTATCGGAACACAATGCGATATTCTACTCTCTGCGGTCGCTTACGCTGCGTGACTGCCCGAATCAGCTGCATCTCGTGCAATTACTGTATTGGTCACAAAAGCCGCTCCGACTGACGCATTTCGAATTCTCTTTCGATTATCTGCTGCACGAACCGGGCGAAGGATGTAGCCTTTCTGCTGTTGTGCGGTTCTTATGTTCATTTCGTGGGCTGCAGCATCTGCATTTGAGGTTGTCCAATTTCCCATCGTCAAAATCCCATATCCAGGACACCATCCGACACCACCAGACCACGTTGAAAAGCCTTGTCTACCACGAGCGCCAACTCGCACCAATCGATGCTGATGGCTTATTTGAGGATGATCGGGATGTGTCGCCCGCTTGGGTTACGAACTTGTCTGCCGGTGTAGACCTGGGCCAGGTGTTTGCTCTGGCTTTGTGTGCTAGTCCATCTGCGGCTGTAAGTTTTTCTCGGCCCAGTAAACAAGTGCCTGCTAATAAGGACAGCGTCGGTGTCTTCTACCTACGGCCAAGTATTCCCAGCTTCAGATTCTACATCTGCGGTTCAGCGGCCTCGAGCGACTCCATCGAGACATCCCACGCGAGATTGCCACTTATATACGTGAGATACGCAAAGGATATTCACGGTATCCTCGTTCGTGCTGGAGTTCCGTGGACCGGGATATCTCCAATGGTAGCCACAACTACCGTCCTATTGTTGATGAGTACTTTGACAGGTCACACCTCGAGTATAAAGACTCGCAGGAGGCAGTGCTTATATCCTCTGCGGCAATTGCAGAGGCTGAGGATTTTGTGTTATTTGCGGACTGGGCATTTGGCCCCAACGGACTGCCGGCCCTACAGGTTCTCGCGTTTGGGGACTTCTCTCACGGTGATCGATACAGGAGCCAGCAGTTTCTAATGCGTCGTGTCTATCCTTCATCGGAGGGCGGTGACAAGGAGCTTGCCGGCCTTGCATGCGATGATACGACGCGGCTGCGCTTTTGTTCGGCAGATATAGGTGACCCTTCGATTTGGGATGGTGCTATGGTGGACGGGGCTCGTTTTCTGTCCGCATGCCCAGGAGGCGGGTTGATGGAGTCACCGTACGAGTTGTAGGTCTGCACGTGTCTTTCTTGATTCTTCCTTGTGGTTCGCGGCGGACTACGCGGCGCAACGCGTCCGGGACCATGATGGATTTGGTCAAAGAAGGCGGTTACTTTTGGTCATGATCTGCCTTACTCGTATTGCTACCTAGAAAATATATAATTTGCAGCTCTGAATCTCAGTTTACAGTATCCCACTGTAGGTATATAAACTTGTCGTGCTTAACTAGGTATCAATGAAAGCAAGAGTCCAATAGATACTGTACCTATCATTAATTAGCAGCCCCGACCAAGTTATTCGTAGCTTTCTCGCCTGTAAAATCACGCAATTTCAGCGAAATGTTAACCGGTTTATATACGCACCCGCGATTCCTTGCCGGCCCTCATTTATATGATCGTGACAGGGCGTCTTCAAAGGAAAATACAAGAATATCCACCTATCGCAACGCATCCTCTTATTGAACCTGGTGGTGGATGAAGCAGTTTATGCGGGTGTGTTTATCATCCAGGTAGCTGGAACGTGCCCCCTATGCAATCTCCTAGGATCTAGTCTATTGTATCGTAATCTCCTTGACTATTGATATAAAAGATACAGTTCACCCTAGCTTGTTCTCTCCTACCCCTGTTTTCTACAATTCCGATAGCGACGAGCTTTGGAATCCAAACGACTCAATGGACCCTCTTGCTTCTCCATCACAGTCTGGACGAGCCAACAAAAGAAAGCGCGAATCTCCAGATCAGTTTGTTATCCCCGTTGACATGCCAGGGAGATCGGAACAGGTGATAGGTTCTTTGAAACGAGCGTCACCGGGCGAGACAAAGGTTAGGTTTCTCTTTCGCCTCTTATAGCCGGCTCTAACCAAACATCCCAGACAATTCCGACCGGTGCAGCCTGTTCCCTGACTAGCAACATGTCACAGATCCTACAAAGCCATCCGTCTTCAATGTCCTCTGCTGTCGACCTCCTGGACCTCTATCTGTGTCTATGGGAGTGCTACACGATCAAGTCGGCCGGCAAAATACGCTTGGAAGAGGAACGTCGCTTCCTGCAAAACTCGAATGAATGGTTAGTGAGAGAAAACGGAAAGCTCCAACAGTGCTACAATCATCAAGAACTGCTGCTGTGGGATCATCGTCAGGCCTTTGTCTCCGTACACCAGGGTATTCTCGGAATACTACAGAATAGTGATAGGCTGTCTTGTCAGATAACTGAGCTACAATAACACCGTGCAGGAGCAAATTAAAACAAGCTATCTTCGTCTGGCTAAATTCTCGGGTATCGTATACTAGCAAAGAACATGGTCTGACCGGTCTTGTCGGTCGAGATAGTTCAACGGGTGGAGTATGTGTAGGGCGGGCATTCCCCACCCATCACCAAAGTACATTTGCAGCAGGAACCAAGATCATTCACCGTTTGCTCCTACGTAGATCAGGAGCCACCATCACTGGGAAACATAGCCTTCTCACTGTTATGGCCAAGACCCTTCTTGGACTTTTTTTTTTCGATGAGCTTTCTATAACCTAGAAGCTAGTCATACTGACCTCTACATATAGACCCTATGGAACCACCAAATCTTGCTAGATCCTTACCTCCAGAAACTGTCTTTTATCGTGAACGCGATACTTTCTGCACAGGAATAATGGGACAACTTGATCAAATTGGTTAGTTGGATTATTTTTCGATACTTAATATTGGCGCTGATAGTCCCTTCAGACTACGATTTGGATCTAGATCTTGAATCAATTTGGAGAGAATTTCCCAATATACCGACACCGCCACTTTGCCTAGCAGAAAACCGTGGCACTCTGTGCTCAAACCAACCACTCAGGGGATGGTTAGAATATACTCAGCATAGGCATAAGAGGACTCCGGCCATCGAATGTATTTTCTATCCCAGCTACGAGAACGTCTGCGCCTTCAGCTGGACGGGGCCGGATCCGTTATCCCAAGACACCTGCGCCGATGATATTTTCCTTTATGTATCGGCATTTTTCCTTTTTGAGCGGGTGAACTGGATAGAACTCCGGCTCAGTAAGTTCAGTACGGAAACCGGAGAGGCTGTCGAAGAGTATCCGTTCTTTCTTCCGCGGGTTGAGTCAATGCTGGGCAACTTACGAAGGATACGTTGTCAGATAAGTGACATCCTCTCGCAGCATCCTACAGCGGGAAACATAACATGCGCTGGACAATCAAGGTTTCAGTTAGCTATATGGCCACGCGTAGAGGTCACAGACAACTCTACCCTGTGGAGTTCGGTTCCCTTATCTCGCATTCACCCTTCTATACCCATACCATTCCTTGATCCACAGGTTTTTGTACAGAATATAGTGGAAAATTGGGAACTCTGAATGTTCTGATCTCATGGATTGCCTGTCATCAGCGTACTGTTTGGATACTTGCATCGGGGTCCTTCACCACCGATCCAAGCTTCGCCTGCCATTTCGCTTTCAAACTCTCACGTGCGGTCCTAGGAATATTCGAACCTTGTTCCCTTTCATTTTCCTTTTGTTCGCTCGAATAGAAATCTTGACTTCGCCACTGGTGTTCTATTTCACCCTGTCAGCATAGGCTGGTATTCTTCTCCGTATCAAGATTTGGCCATAGGCCGGCTGGGTACATATCCGTACGAGCGTGTGCTCCTCCGTGGTAATACTTTATGCGCCTTTGCTTACTCAGACCCGATCAATAGAGCAGCCTTCTTCGAGTGTTTTGGGGTTCCTTTTCTAAAATCAAAGTCAGCGATATTTGACTTATCCGTGAACTGAAAGATACCTGCCGATACCTCTTCTTTCCTGGATACTTGGTAGAAACTTGGTAGGCTCACTTTTCCCACACCTAGATATATAAGGACTATGGACTTTAACATCTTGGAATCAAAATATCAACCGTTCATTGCTGTTATTATCCGAACAGTAGGTCCAACCAGAATAGAGAGCTCCAAGGCCGACTTGGCTACCACTTCAATTCCACTCAGTTGCTACAAGAGCGTTGTATTCAGCTGGAACTCGTCTATTGCAAGGCACCAAGCGTCTAATACTACTTGGTACTTCCGTTTTAGCTTTTGGACGATCGGTACACCGTACACTAGCCAAGATACCATCGGCACGTTGAGCTGTAATTTCCTTAATTTTATCAGGGATTCTAATCAGACATCTGGGTTTCCCTGAACGCGAGGAAGCTATTTACAGTACTCGTTCATTATCATGAACAACTGACCAGCAAACAACACACCTGTTGCGACAAAGCGCAAGAGTTCAGGACGAGCTGGTAGGGATAGAAACCGTTGACTGTGGATCCCAATCCGGGTACACGGGGTAAAATACCAGGCTTCCAGATACTTTGCGTGGTTTGAATCCTGTATAACTGATCTGCCTGATCAGGTTATTTTCGAGAAGCTTTTGCCCAGCAATCCCTGCTTTTGCGCGCGTTTGCAGAGAAAATAACGCGGAGGCATAAGAACGGTACCTGAGGCGTTGAACGTCCTCAACGCTCTTTTCAAAGGTGGCGGGGATCGCAATTATCCACACCTCCAGCCGAGCTTGACTTGAGCGCTTTTCCTTGTAGTACTTGTCTGCCTTGAAGATCCGGTCGCTCAATCGAATAGTGTCCGGGCCGATAATTAGTATCTGACATTTCTCCTCGAACCAGGGCTCAAACTGTCGCATGGTATAGTCGAAGTCTCGTAGTGGCTGTAGGAACGTCTCCACTGTATGCTGGGATGCTTTCAGATATGTTCAATGCACCGTATGGTAAGCATGTACCGTAGTTCGTTCCTAGGAGTTGTTGAGTATATTTTTAGTCAATAGGCGTCTATATTTATGAAGTGCTAGAACCTGCTCGGGGTCTGGAAGATGCATGATATCAGAGCTAATCCAGTAGCACATAATCCTGTGTACAATTGCAATTCAGTTGCACGTTGCGAGTATGCCAGCCAGTTATGCAGATTTTTCCTGAGGTGCATAAAGCACTGGCTACCGCGCTGCTAATTGCCAGCCTCGCCCGCTTGGAATTGTCTCGTCAAACAGTGCAGGAAAACTCTTCATATCTGGGCCTTGACCTTGCAGAGTCTGTACCGAAAGATGCTCTACTAGTTAGTAGTTGTGGATATATCGTAAGCAATGCGTTGTTGTACAGTTAAAAGGAGGACCGAATGATATATAACGGGGCCGAAAACGGGGAAGAAAAAAAGGGAACTGTAATACAACTGCAGTGTCTGGCAAGGCAGTGCTAACTGTATCTGCTTTACATACAGTGGGAGGGAGTAGAAGAAGCTGTCTCCCTGTCAGTCTGCGGTCGAACCGCTTGTGTAACCGTTCATAACCGAAGATCTAAGTATCGGTCTGTTCATCCGCAGAGTCCTCGCATCTCTCCATGTAGAATTCCCACAGGCGGGTCGTAAGCTTGTTACGTTCATATTCCAGACGGGATATAGCAGCGAGAGTCTCCTTGTAGCGCGTGTAACAGGTCATCTGCGTGGCGAACGCGGCGTCATTGAGAAGAGTGTAACGCATAACCGGGGGCATAGGCGGGGGGGCGATATGGGGCTCGATTTCATGCCAATCCTGCGACACCTTACCCTGGTGCATAGCCTCCGATAATGCAGCGGTATACTTGGCTGAGCGGTCGTATATATTAGCGAGGGTACAGAACAGACGAGTATAGAGGGTGGTAGGCGTACCGGAAGCAGAGAGTGGTTTGCTTTCTACAAACGTGACTTCTTCATCAATAGATACACCGGGGGACTCAGGAGCAGACTATACGAGCGAAGTGACAGTCAGTACTGTGTGTATAGGATGAGAAAGGGATCGGGAAGCGTACCGGAGTTTGAGGAGCTAATGAGGTGGGTTTAGGGGATAGCTCAGTACCGAGACAGACAACCTCATCCTCAGCATTGGACTCAACGAGCCTAGGACGCTTGGCCTGGCGAGAAGGACGGGCCGTAGTGGCCTTGACAGGCTGCTTTATGGTAGAAGAAGGCGACTTGGGATCCGCAGAGCTCATCATAAGGGTATGATGATATGGAAAAAGGAAGGTTGAGGGGAATGGGATTAACGAGAAAGCAAAACAGAAGTAGGAACGCGTAGGATATTGTGGTGAGGGAGAATTTAATATGTGAAAGAGCGCCTAGGGACCTCGATAGAAAATTGCGACTACAGTTCTAACGAACTTACGAGAGTATCTCCCACTCTACAGAGTCCGATTAACGATGGGGATTCTTACTACACTACCAGAAGCGGCTGAAGGCCCTGTAATGAGAGAGTTTGCCTATAAAGAAGTCCTGCCCCATACAATCCAGGCCGGGCGTCGCCAACCAAAGTCAGTCGGTTCAGTCACAGTCGAAGCCCCCGTATAAAACTCAAGAGGAGCAGAGCCTGAGAGCGCAACTCTCGTCCAGCGACCTACCTACGGATAACGAGGAGCCTGCCAGAGAAGAACTGCTACGATATGATCTGTACGATAAGCCCAAATATTGACTGGAAACAGAACAGCAAGGGTGTGGCCAAGATACTGGTTCCAGCGCACCGCACAGGAGCCGCCAGCGGATTGGAATATCAGCCCCCAATGGTGAGGAGTGCGAGCAGTGCCCGGCCAATATAGGACCCTTTCAGTTCTGCAAGGTGGCTATGAATAAGAAGGGGGAGCCAGTGTTACATGGTTCGTGTATAGGGTGCGCCTTTAATATAGAGGACCACGTATATAGCTTTGGTATATTCTAGGAGCAGGAGTATATACCGACTGATCTTACTGGATAGTGCAAACTCGGCCGGCTTTTGCGACCGCGATTTTCGAGAAAGGAGCCCACAGTACTGCGGAGACCAAGGTGGATTAAGAAGCCGAGGGTATACAGAATAACTACAGGGGCGCTGACGGGGTATGATTGATAGCTATAGGAAGAAAAAGTGCAAATGGATATGAGAATGAGATTGTTATTGTGATATGACGATTCGATCGTAACAGAAGCAAGATATCCATACAACCTAGTGCCGATGACTAAATCATATGGTCACGGAACGGACACGGGTCTTGCCATTATCCAGTGTGTAGATCTCAGCAAAGTATGCGCGTATAAAAACACTCTGGGCAAAAAGGGGCAGGTAGTCGACTATAGGTTGGGATATAGTTAGCAAAATATAGTTATGATAATAATAGAGATAAATATACCAAATGAGCAGTCGGTAGCGTGTCCACGGAATGCACAATTCATACATGCGCCGTTGAAAAGGGGGACGCCCTCCGTATCGACCGCAACACAGCAACGCTCAAATACTGCGTGTGCTGCAAGACAGTGTTGACAACCCTGGTCGAAAGGCGCAGGGACACCGAAACGCTGACCGAAGAGTGCCATAACGCCATCAGTATGTCCAGGAATCATATAAACCTTTAGGCCAGAGCTATTGCAGACCCAGTCAACGTTTGGGCTATTAGGCTGGACAGAAAGGGCGCAGATAAGCTCATCTGGGGAACTAGCGAGATTGACCATAGGGTTCCCATGACGGTCGAGGAAACGGCTCGCGGCTACGCAAACAGTCAGTAAAGATATACAAGCAACGAGGGACCATACTGACCACGTGAGAGGGGTAGGGGTGAGGCAGTTGAGGTAGAGGAGCTTGCCATGACGAAAGGGGATACAAGTGAATATGTGAGATAGGTAGATTTGTGGGAGAGAATAAGAGGAGAAGAGGATAAAATGATTGACTGAAAGGTCTGTTGATTGAGAAAGCCTACCTGCCTAGTATGTGCTACAAGATTATTTCTCAAGCTGAAGTTAACCACCAAGGATCAGTCTCTCCGAATGAACATCCTGCTGTGAAGCCTTATCAATACACTATCTCAATTAATGATCTATTTTTCATTGTTTTCCCGTTCCTCGTGCTTTACCAAGGTTACAGCCACACTAGTTGGTACTTACGCCTATCTTCCACTGCGAGATAATGTACTCGTTGTTCACTTTGTGGATTATCTGAGCTTGAATTTTCTCTTATGGTGGCTGATTGAGTATACAACGGCCCATTCACGGAATCGACCATAACTACGTTGTGCTGAACAAGTTGATTGTTCACCGACCGAATAGCGAAATATAACAAGATCATCCAGGTGGGCAGAATAAATAATTGCAGCTGGTGGTATTTCCTCGTACGCGGCCAAATTTACCTCTAGAAATAACAGCCAGCAGTATAGGACAACTCCAAAGACCGCAATCAGCAGAAGCACAACGGCCAACCCGATTGTCCAAATCAAAGCAACTGTAGACCACGAAGTTTAGGCACACAGAATCAAGGGATTCATTCGAGGGCTAGCAAATACTTGCTTGAAGTATTGCGGCGGTGCAAAGCTTTGCAGTAACTTTGACCCTTAGTGGCTAGAACCAGAGCTTTGTGAGCGAGACTCTTGGTTTGAACGGGATTGATTTTGATTTCCCCCAGCTGCACCGATACCTTCCGATCCACTCAGCCTAATATTGTCGATGATCCGTTGACAATACCTGAACACGTCGTCCGTTGTCAACTTGCTTCCTGGATCCTTTTCTTCTTCGAGGCCATCATTTTTGATATCAATAAACCTCTTTAGCTCCGGAACCTCAGTCAATTCGATGGTAATGATCATCATCATATGGTAGGGAACCATATATCCTTCAGATTATATGCTGCCATGTATCGGTCCTTGACAGCATTGATAAACTCTTCAATTGTATTGAAATCTGTACGTCGGGTACGGAAGAATTTTATTGTGGCAACAGTGATAGCAGCATGTCCTTCACCTTTGAAGTACCGCTTACACTCCCTCATGAATGTATCCGCCCATCTGATATCCCCGCTTCGCATTCTGATTTGACGACTGAGTGCGGGATCAAGGCTATAAGGATGCCTACCGAAGAAGATGCAGTTATTACCGTGATGTATGGGCTAAGTGTAATTCCTGATACCCTTACCATGGAAGAAGCCCAGGTAGAAATGGGGATACAGATGCGGATGCCAGCATCGATAGCGAGAATAGCTCTCCACGATGATATCGAAAATGCTGAGTAGATCCAGGAAAATGCAGATGCAGATGTAGGAGATGCAGAAGTTGAAAAGTAGATTGAAAAGCAGAGGGAGAAAACACTAATGCAGGCAAATTCAACGCAGGCAAATTGAAAATCAGGTCCTGATTTTCAAAAATCATCTGATATACCACCAGGCATGCCTTTAACACCTGAATCATTTATACCTGGAAGCTTCCCCTCCTCACCACCGAGAAGATCTCTATCAAATTTTATCCACTCCACACCTACCCCATCGAATACCCCATCGAATACTGCATCAAATACTGCATCAAATACTGCATCAAATACTGCATCAAATACTGCATCAAATACTGCATCAAATACTGCATCAAATACTGCATCAAATACTGCATCAAATACTGCATCAAATACTGCATCAAATACTGCATCAAATACTGCATCAAATACTGCATCAAATACTGCATCAAATACTGCATCAAATACTGCATCAAATACTGCAGTAAATGCATCGAATCCATCGAGATCCAACCTCTGAGATACGCTACGATCGGATGGATCTTGGGCGGGGGGAGGAAATACACTGCAGGAGCATGAAAATCAGGACTTCGAAGATGAAGATTTTGATGAAGAAGAAGTTGAGCGTCAAATGATAAGAGAAATGTCATACTCTCAGTCCCCTAGACTAATTATATATGCCTTTCTTGATGATGCATTCGCAAGCCCGCATATCAAATGCCCTCGAGATATTTGGCGGTTCACAAAAGTTCCAGATTATCGCCACAGCACTCCTATTCATTTGAAGGATAGCCTAAAGGAGATCCATGTTTTCAGGCGCGCTGTAAGGACAGAATCTGGAGCTTGGACCACGGACCGTAAGGTCGACTTTTCATGTTCGCAGGCACAGGAGTACGAAAAGAAGGCTAGCGCAAAGGCTGGATTCGCAGATGAGGGATCACTCTATAAATACCGCAAAGGGGCAGCTGAAAACTTGAGTATGGCCATAAGAATCTAGAGATCGAGAAGTTGAATGCTAATAAAGTTTAGGGAATCTCGATGAACACTCACGTAATATAATAATGGGTCATCAAAAAAGTGCAACGTTTTCAAATTATATATCTGTGTTTAATGACACTCAATCCATTTTCATGCAAACTCCGACTAGGGATTCTTTGTTGAATCTCGTATGCCATGGAAATTTAACACGAGGTAAGTCTTGAGAGCAGCGCCTTTTTAATAGAGAGCCAATGAGCAAGGTCAATATGGCATTGCCCGTTTCTTGCGCGCTGGGTTGTTCTGGATGGTAGAAACCTGCCTTTCCTTGCACAGTTCATCTACATAAGCTTATATGTTCTCCAGTGTTTCCCCTAATTATTGGATCTTGTTTTTGAGAGCTGTGTTTTCGCTCATTAATGTCACGTTTTCAGTTAATACGTCGGCAAAGCTATCCTATGTAATGTCATTGATAAAGCGTTCGATTTTTCTATTAGTCTGGTTAGCATATTGATTTGCTCACTTGGAAAGCAGGCTTCGAGCCCAGGAAGGTACTGCAGCAGGGATCTGCCAGATTACTAAGAAGGCTGTGGAACTCACTTGATTCGCTTGTTAAGGCTGCCAATCTCAAAGTCAGCACAACAAGACCAGCCACTGTAATGTAAGGTAGGAGCTCACTCTTAGCTTTGCTGGGTTGACCGCGAAGATTGCTGTGCTGGTGTGAACTTCAATTCAGCCACTATTCATCCTGTGCGTGGGCCTTGACCACAAACGATGTTACCTTTCTTATCCTTGGTATAGGTTGCTAGATCGGGGGTTTCTTTGAGGTAAGACGATGTTATTCTTGTTGGTTGTTGCTCTTCCTCTGGAGGCATCAAGCCTGCGAATTTTGCTTCGTAACCACCTGGTTGATAACTGGATCATAGAATTTGCGTGTACGACATTGAAAGAACGTGACAGATTTGAAGGAACGTTCAGGTAAGTTCAGAATAGGGAGGACGAGGAGAAGGTCGGGGAAAGAGAGGAACGTAGGTGGAAGAATGCGCCATTTCATTCGCACCTGCGTAGCGCTTTCCGCTTCCTCTTTGGACTGCTTACCTTCCCAATTGGGTAGTTTTCTACCTGTTTCTATTGCTGGGGTATACTTGGTGGTAGAATTAGGTCCAATTGTGCTGGAACAGGCTTAATAAACCAGAATAGAGTGATTTTATCCAATAAAATCGACTGATTTGATCTGATTTGATCAGATAATCGATGCTTGCAAGGAACCTTGGGCGGTAGGCCTATTGAGGTATTTTCCTAAAGAAGGTATTAATTATTACCAGATCATGTTTGATCTTCAGTTGTTTTATTCAGTGAGGAGGTACGCGGACAGCGGCGGCTCTGCCAATATAAACCATAGAGCCGCTTGTACCCTATACGCGGCCGTTGCTGATACTTAAGGTAACATCATTATCGTCGTAACACAATGCCGTGACTAGCAAATATATCTAGGTTCAGGTATTTGGGGTAATATAGGTATCACCATACGTTTTCTTCGGCGACCAATATAGATCGGTCTCAAACAGGCCGACCGATAAAAAGCCAGACCCTCAGTGTCAAATAGAGCCATCTCCATTGAGTTGTATACAGAAGGGGTAAACATTGAGAATCATAAACTCGCAACATTCCGTGACGCTCTCGAGGCAGCTGCCATACGATGTACAAATTTCCAGCAATACGAAACATGTTGCGAGGGTTCGGACCTCGAAGTGTGTGCTAGTCGGGTCGTATATCCTATCGAATCATTAGCCCACCTGGACAACCGCTAAGGCTACCGCTATATCTTACCTGGTAGTTTCTCGTTTGCTCTATCCGAGTCATTTGTCAAGCGACGGTATTCCGAAACGGCCAGCTGCTCCAGCGCATGAATCAAATAGCGAGTTTTTGTGCGGGAGCCTTTAGGTGTGAAGATTGGAAGAGATGGTAAGCAAGATCTCCGAGCTTCTTCGCGTCGGACTCGTAACGGAGCTTCTCCCGAGCTAGAGGTCTCGGACAGAGTTTCTTGTATCGAGTGATATTCCCGTAACAGGTAATTTTGTTTGCATCTCAATGCCTCGCCTGTTCGTTTCACGCCGAACTGCCTAAGGTATACCCTGGATCTTTCCTTCCAAGATATCCCTCGGTGACGATGCAACCAGGAAAGGAGGTTCCTTTTTTCCCATAAAGACCAGGCGATCTTGTCGGTTTTAGATATTTTCGATCTAGACATCTAGACAACAGATTATTCACTGAACGAGGATAGCAGTACAAGGCGAGTTAGTGTAAAGCTCGGATAAAGTAAAAATTGTGAAAGGAAGTCGGTCGAACTTAGGGATGGTCACAGGTTTATTTAGGATAGGAAAGTTCTGAGGCGGCCTTGATTAATTGCGGTCTTCCGTTATAACTACGAGTGCGGGCTTACCCGACAAGACCCTAGTCGAATAGTTCTCCACCAGATATATCCTGACCTGGTCGGTCTTTGGCTTCTGGGTAGATAGATTCCGAGGGATAACAGTGACTGCGAATAAGGAAAGTGCTGTATAATGCTGTTACTAGGTTATTCATAGGCTGTTCAAGTTGGCGGAAGAGGCCTTCGGTTTTGTGAGGTAAAAGTGGTCGTCTGTCAGTACACTACACCGGTTGAGAAACGGTCTATATCCGAGGTTATTTATCGCCTTCGGGATAATTATTACGCCCAGTCATATTTTCGTTGTAATTCGGTCATGGGTATAAGCCTCTTCCGGACAGGCTACGGCCTTTCGCGACGATCTGCGTGTAAAAGTGAAGTCGTCCGGGATAAAAACATAAAAATATAAAAATTAATTTTATTATCACTATAAACGATAATTTTACTAATAACAAATAATAAATCAACGTAAAAAATAGTGGTATGATCTCTAGCTAAACAGACGCAAAACAAAATAAAATATGAAAATAAATAATAATATAAATAATAATATAAATAATAATATAAATAATAATATAAATAATAATATAAATAATATATTAAAGTGATAAAACTTGACACCTGGGGAATGCATAGGCTATATTCAACGGCCATATCACCTGCTAAGATTACCTTTCTCTTTTTCTTTTTTCTTTTTTTTTTTTTTTTCCCCCTAAAGAGGTACACTCAGAAACTTGACAGGGAGAGGGGCCCTTGTTAGTGGAAATGGATGAAATTACTCAAACCTTATTGATTTGAGAATATCGGGAGATACTGAGCTCAGGAAATTATTGCTAGACTTGTTTGGGTACGGTCACTTTTCACTTCGAATCTTTAAAGGATCAAATTCTCCCGTTTCTTACTATTCCCCATTCCTCATTTCACAGTCTCTCCCCTAAGCCCCCTGCTTGACTTCAAGACAGTTGCAATGGGTGACCGGAGAAATTCGCAGCGGTATGTAGACCGAATGTCTCAATTGCTTTCATCAGGTTTACCTGAACCAAACAATATTGGGAGCCCCCGTACGTCAATCGCCGGCTCTGTAGACGACGATTGCCATTCCCAACAGACTAAAGAATCCGATGACGATAGCAAGGCTACCTCTATGGATAGATACAGTGATAAAAAGGGAACTCAGGGACAACAGGCCAAGGAACAGACCAAGGAACGGGCTTTGGGTGGAGCTAGATCCGCAAAGTCAATGGTGAAAATGATCGAATGTGTGGCAGAGTGAGTCTGGAACTTTTGCCTTCTCAGATATCGTATACTAACGGCTTGATTATAGATTGGATGAACGGGTGCAGTAGGTTTCCCTCGGAGATAGGACCAGAATCCCAACACTGACACGCTTTAGATCTAATGCAGAGTCGCTCAAGGACCAGGACCTGTGGAATCAGGGAATGCAGCGAAAGTATTTGGATATGATTGGTGCTATGGACAGGTTGAGTAAAGAAGTGGCCGCGTTAAGGAAACAAGTGGAGGTTTTGTCAAGTGGAGATACAGTCAAAAGTCGAGAGACTGTGGGTTCGAAGCGTCAAAGGCAGTGAGGGAATACCACTATCTTC